CCACTTGGGGAGGGGATCCAGGCCTCCTCCCCCACTAAGGCATGCCACTTAGCCACAGAATCAGGCCATGTCTCCATCCTGCTCCTCTTGCTGCTTCACACTCTGTATTCAGGGTCACGGATCTCATTTCTTGGATCATATTTCAAGCTGGCCACAGATGGGGAATTAAATTGAAGAGCGGTCTTGGTATATGGCATAAAGGATGGATTTTCGGGGCTTCTCAGAGAGATGATATGAAAAGAAATCGGATACTGTAGGTTTAGCTGTACTTAGGCTACTTTTAAGGGTCTGTGCAAAAGAATACATGAAATGCTGACTGAGTTGTGTGCTTGCTGAAAGCAGAGAATCCCCCACAGTCATCACTTGTTATCCACTGTGACACACCAGCCTCCTCATTTAAAAAGGACTCGTTCTTTTGTTGATAGCCAAATCCATTTTTCTTGTCTATTTTACAAAATACAGAGTGATATTTAACTGCACTGTAGGTGTTTACACACATGCTTCAATATTTGCCAGTATTTCAGCTAATACAAAGACCAAGCAAATACCCATGGATTTTTCCCCCTCAGATGCCACATTTGAATAAGTCCCTAAACTGATGAATTGCTGTCAGATGACAGCCTAACAAGGCTCCTCAAACCAGAAAAAATATTGACTCAGGCGAATCAGCACATGTCAGTTTATGGCAACACCCCTGCCCCAGTCACTCCGGATGGGAAAAATTGGAGAGAGAAAGGGGGGCTGTATGACGGGGCTTCTCCCTTGTTAATGCTGAATATCAGTTTGTGCTGCAGACTGGTGCTGGTGCAGCATTTGGTAAAGGGCTGAGGCAACCCTGCTCTACTGGTAGCTGTCTTTCACCCATACATCAGACAGAGCAGGGCAGTCTCAAACCACCTGTGCCTGCATATATGATCTGTCTCTGGTCTTTCATTCATCATCAGGTCTCTTTGTTCACAGCCAATCAGATGATCCCCTTTGTTCTTATAGGATAGCACTCAAAATACAGGTGTTTTCGTCAAACCATCAATAATCAACCAATGAGAAAGTGCTTAGATTAATCGTTATGTTTGATAAGATAAATCATTATGTTTGATGAGATTAATCGTTGAAGAAATGTATCAAGTTCAAGTGCCATTGATCGACAGTTTGGAGCTTCATGGATGTGAACATTTGCCTAACTTGGGTTCTTCATTTCATCCTCGAGTTGGTGTCTTTATAAGCAGACATTGGCATTGATGAATCAAGGGTTTGTATTTTGCATATTAAAAACATTAGTAAACCAGTGATCAGTCGTGCAATGATAAATTCAACCTATTATTTCAGAGATCTTTTTTTGTTGCAAACCTTTTTTCTCAAGTGTGTCAATATTAAAAAAGTCAAAGTGTTCACATATGAAACAGAGCACCTTTTATTTGAAGCATTATGAATAAGAATAAGAATAACTTGATTGATTCCCGAAGGTAAAGTCAATTGTCTGTCGTCTCATTTGACATGTCTAAAAAGTCATCTACTACTTATAAAAGAGTTGTAAAGTGGATATGGATAATGTGGATATTATGGATATGTATGGACGCAACCTCAACTTAACCTTTGTTACCACCCATCAAAGTCAATCTAATTCAGGTTAGACAGAATCTTAAAGTATCAACTGTATATGTCCTGTACATGTCCACTGTGAAATGACCAACTGGTGGTTGATTGTCAAGTTTGAAATCAAGACAAAAAGATCCACAAAGATAGTCATAAAAAGAGAATACCTTTAGGTTTTAGGTGCTTCCACATGAGCTGCACTTTTTCGACTAATTAAAGTCATCGAGTATAAAGTTTGGAGATAAAAATGTATTTTAGTTCTTCGAAGGATTAGGCTATATACTCTTCATTACCACCAGCAGTGTCATCACATTTCTCGCTCAGGGTGTTATAATCATTACTTGGCTCCTTTTGGGACTGGATGAGAACATTTGTCTCCCTCTTCTTCTTCTGCAGCAGCCCAGTACTGCCTGTTTCCAGTACCTAATGCAGGCCTTATATCATAAACGCTGCATGAATACTTGTGTATGCAGCCCCTCAGAGGTAATGGAAATATTTGTGTCACTGTAATGTAAAGCCTTGTGAGGGCTTGCCCATCTGTCTGCAGTTGTTCTGTTACAGTGTGTGTCATCGGAGTGTACAACAGCAAATTACAGCTTATTAGTACCAATACAAGCAGTGACAACATTTATCAGGGAAAACATCTCCTACTCTCCCTAATTGTCCCCCTCAGGGCTCGTGGTTATGTGGACCCGTATCGACGGCGAGGCAGTCATTAGGACATCACACTCAAGCTGACGAGCAGAGAATTCAGGGGACATGTTCACCCCGATTGGTTAATTTGATGTGAGTAGAATGACACCTCGTCTGCAGCAGATGAGGTATTTATAGTGTAGATGAAGAGGTCCAGGCGCCCACCTCGAGTTTATGTGCTTCACTCTCTATGCTGCAGATCTCAAGTGCTGCCCAAAGGGTTGAGTGGCGCAAGCGAGACGGGCCAGGGTATGAATAACAGGCAGGGAACAGGGAGAGCCAGAGGTGGAAAGGGCAATGAAGTTTATATGTCAAAGAACAAGAGTGAGTAGCCGATATCCAGCTATATCTGTCAATCTCTCCTGGCCTTTGAGAGAGAGTGACAAAGGGCGCAGGTCAGCCGGCCTGTCTGAGCTTTTTTGTCTCTCCCCAACAATGGGATCTTGTCTAATACAGATACGTGGCTGTCTGTCACTTTTTACTCGCTGATATTTTGTCACCTCTGTGTGCGTCCAGTACTGTCCAGCTCTTGGGCTTTTGTGTGTGAATGTGTGTGTGTGTGTCCCTAGATTACGATCTCCAGTGAAGTAGAATTGTCACCGCTGCTGCCCCGGTTCGTGGCGATACCTCCCACCTGCCACCTTCCACTTCACGCTGCTAACATCCTCAGGGAGTGACAGATAGAAATCTGAGTCAGGGCTTTCAGCAGCTCAGCAGCCGCTTGCTGTCTGCTTCCAAATGCAGCGATCTTTTAAAAGGGCTTTGCGGTGTACCTCCCAGGCTAGGTCTTACACTCCCAGGTTCCCTTTGGTCTTGACAGTAGGATTGCACATAAAAGAAATTTGCCTCATGTGCTCACAGCTCTGTCTTTTTCACCCCTCCACTTCAAGGTTCCATCCTGCAGTTTTAAAGACCATGCTCGTATACAGCGCAGTCATCTCAATGATAAAACCAAACCTCCTCTTATGCCAATTACCAGGCTGTGATGTGTATCAGTGGGAATGGGTAAAGGCTAGAGAGGCAACTTTCCTCGGCTGCCTCTTGGCGACCAAAGGCCAGACTTGTGCTGGTAGAAGATAATCAGCAGTTCTCACACAAACAAGATAAAAAAAAAAAAAGTGAGCGGATTTACTCCCATCCTGCCTGTCAGGCATCTCGCTGCAGACAGGGGAATTATTTTGGCAGCAGCACTAATGTGGTGATGCTTGTTGTTTCCTAAACTGATTTCCTTAATCCTCCACTTGTTCCACGCTTTGTAAACACGGGGGCTTGATTTTGTAATCTGGGAGGTTCCACCGACGCGCAGACACATGCACACACACACCAATGTCGTCCCTCTAACCCCATCCTCGTCAGCCGCTGCCCTAATTAGTCAGAATTAAGACGAATGCCTGGGCCTCCCACGATCAATTGCTATCGAGCGGACCTTCGCTCGCCCCTGCCTAGGGGCCTCTCTTGGCCGGCAGATCATTTATATCAATCGCTTTTGTTTTTCTTTCCTTCCCCCCTTCCCATTCTTCCGTCTACCAAGTGCAAGGTTCGGTCTATCGGCTGCAGAATGGAAGGCAGGCAAAATGGCAAAGCCTGGGACGTTAACCGCCCCGGCTGTATTGATGTCACAAAGGGACACATTCTCCTGGGGTGCTCGGACACAATGGATATACGAGCTGTCCTGCCCATTTGTGTTGGTTTGTGGGCAATTGTTCCAGCAGGAGTTTGATGGTTCTTGCATCCTTTCCTTTCCTAACAAGCTAACCCTTCAGATGCACCTCTCCTCTGCCCTTTTTCCATTTCTTGTAGCACTTCTCCCAAGTATCTCCATCTTTATTACTTGGTATCCTGTGTGAGGAGAGGTGATTTGCAGGTTACTCCATAATTTCATTGATCAAGCCTATTAAGAAGATGTTAATAATCAGTGAAGTTGATCTCTTCATATAATCTCCTCCTTTTTTTCCCCCTGTACCAATCCACATTGATTCTCTGGAAATAAGGGGATACAGTGCAGTGTTGTTGCTAGCCAATCATTGCCTTCACTGAAATGGCAAATGAATTGATATTCCACTGAAAATCTGTGAATAAATTACATCTGTATGTAGGACCCGGTCGATGGAAGATAGCAGTTTTATTTTGAATGGATTTCCATTCTTTCTTGTAAAGGATGATTTCTGTCTTCATGCCTGCTTTCTATCTTTTGTTTTACTTCCCAACGGCCAAAATCTATTCTTGTACTCACAACACCATGCAGTGGAATTTTTGTGTTTACCCAACATTATTCTAAGATCCACTCAAACGTAGCTCCTTTGGGGAATTCAATTACAGGACAAATCAAACACAGACAAAGAGAGAGTGGGAAAAGACTCACTTTTTATTAGTTCCTCTCTTTCCAAAGTTATTGGACCAGCTTTGAACTGGCACTTACGACAAACAAAGATGCAGTTTGTCCTTTGTATGTGTCTCCACAGTTCAGTGTTGGTACTTTAGTGTACGGTCCGTGAGAGTGCCTCTTCCCTGGAGGCGAGCGCAAACCCCTGGGGTCAGCAGCCTCTTCATGCTGTACGCTTTATGTGCGTGCCTGCTGTACTTGTGATGCTGCAGAGACCAGTAATGGCAGCTCTGCGTGTGTATTGTGCCAGGCTTGGATAGTACACCACAGTCATCAATGAGCTGGCCGCTGGCTCCTGGTTAGTGGCTTCCTTTCTGTGCAGCACAGTGTGGCGATATGCTACTTGGGGCTCAGTCCAGAGGAGTGAACCTTGGCTGGCTGACTTAAGCTATGCTAAGCTAAGATGGACCCTAGGCTGCACCTTAAGCTTATGTGCACCGAGTGTGGCAGTGCCAGATGAGCTCTCCATCTCTACCACAGCCTCCATTTTTGTGTGTTTTGTGAATGTTTGAAGGGTCCCAGTGTTTTTTCTCTTTTTCTAATTTGGGTCCCATTTCCCTGATTCGTCTCCCCCTGCTGGCTGTCCTGGCATAACGACCCTCCATCTCTCTCCCACATGTTTTGTTGCTCTCTGATTCTTTGCCACCTGCTATGTAGAGATGGATGCTGTCAGACTTCAACTCTGTCTCCTTATTTCCTTCAGATACTGCTGGAGAGGGCCCTCATCTCTACAAACACAAACCTAGCTCTGTAGTTCTACTTTGAACTTTAGGGCACTGGGAATATAAAGGAGAGGAAGAAAACAGGGGGAGGAGATGGGTTGCTTTATAGTGTCTTCGTGGATTAATGGAAGGAAAAATGGGTCTATTAATCCTCCTTTCTCTGTGTGTGTGTTGAGGAGTGTTGCACATGATGGAGACGAAGTGCCGTGTAATATTAACTAGTGTATCTTTGAACAGTTTTTGCCCATTCACTGACTTTTTCTGCTTATTATCAGGTTTATAATGAGTCACAGAGGAGGAACACACTCTCCCGCTCTCCTTATGTGCTTCCATGTGTTTGATTGGGTGGGATCTGTATTTCTGCCTAATTTGCCATTGTGAATACTACTGAATTAAGTGGCTTAACTTTGTTTTGCTCCCCAGCTCCCTACTGCGCTGACATTACTACACCACATGGGCTATAAGAAAGCAGCAGGACAACTCAGTCGAGGGAGAAACAGGGATTTAAAGGAACAGGGACTGCAGTATCATGTTTATACGTGAGAAGTAAATGTAAAGTGATGCTGACCAAGAAGGATGTGGTGAAGGGAGACGAATATCCAGACCCTGAGGTGTTGTACCAGTCTCGGAGATGGTCCCTCTGAGGCCTCTCAACTGTGGCTTTCCTGTCCTCTTGCCAGGCTCTCTAGCAGATGGCTCAGACGGCAGCACTTAAGTAGCAGGGGACAAGTTATGGAAGAAATAGATACTAATATTTATCCTTCACGATTGTACACGTGTTCACAGACTGTGCTATTCATCAGCTTTGCCCTTCAAGAGATAAGTATTTCTACAAAACCCATCCATGTGCAAGTTTTGGTGATCTTTGTTGTGGCACTTAAAGAAACAGTGCACAATGACAGTCACACACTCAAAATAAGAGTTTTTTTTGCCCCTCTCTCTGTCCCACTGTGATTTTTATAGGAGGTGATGCAGACATAAAACACAGCCTTGCTGCCTTAAAAGAAAATAAACCCACATGATAATGATGACATTATATAACTTTTTTATGTATTTGAATTTTATTTAACAAGGAAAGCCCCACTGAGATTGAAAATGACATATACACAAGTGTCCTGGCCAAGCAGTGGCACCATAGACTGAATATACTATGGACAACTTGGCTCCGCCATCCATCATTATATGAATTTGAAGCCGAATTGCTCTCTGTATTTCCAGGATTTTCCTCACTTCCTGGAACCACCACCGGCGCAGTAGCGTTACGCATTCGGCAGGAGAGTTGCTGTGATGACGCTGGGCTTAAACAGTGTATCCCCCGGGTGAGCTACACAATCTTTGTACGCCCAGAGGCTGTATCAGGTGTCAATCATAGAAAACATAAACCTCCAATAACTTTTAAAAATGGAGCTGTACAGAAAAAAGAAGACTTAAGCACAAACCAGTCTTAAAATAGCTACATGTCAACATCGCAAGCAGGGGGGAGAAAAATGTATATTCTGTGTAATTTATTTCTAAAAAATAAGAAATAACTTATTTCTTAAAAACTTTCAGAGAGACCAGCTCTCTTAGACCTAAATTCTTCTGAAGCAAAGCAGAGGAGCAAAGTACATAAAGCTTTTTAATCCATTTTTAAGATGCACTCTGAAGACAGAAAGCAACAGTCAATCTGTAAGATTATAGTGTCTGGAAATTTTCAAATTAAAAATACCCAAAATTTAAATTTCACTTTAACTTTAATGAAATATTTAGTTCTAATTTTAACTGAACTTATATACAAGGCAGACTAATATATTGTTATCTCTTGTATTGATAAAAAAAGGAATAATCTGACAAACTAAGGTTTAATTTTCATTTTTCAGATTGAAACCGCATTTTAACCACATCCTAGTCAACAACCATTTTATATGGGTCTATATGGGTCTTTAAAGGAAGTTTCGAGAAAATGTTACCTGGCTTTCTCACCACCTGGCTGCATTGAAGCAGTTGACTAGCAAAGACAGTTCTGGGGTCAACCTGATTACATATGTACTTTTGTGACTGCCCAAACACTGAACTGTAGATTGCTGGTTATTTGCTGACTGTTTACCTGCACAGAAAAGAAAGTAAAAAGTGGTAAGGCGCAGAAATAAACCAGGATTGTTAAAACATTAAAAGACGGACAGTCAAAGATGCTTTTGGCAACTGGATGAAAACAGATGCAAATTCACATGCTGTGGACTGTGACAGCCTAACAGGACTGACTGAATGAGAAGAAAAGGCCATACATAGGTGCTGTTGTTATTTTATGCATTTATTAAAAATATTACATAAACAAGACTTAGGACAAAATGATTCACCAAACACCCTGCATTATTCAAGTTAAAGACAAGGTACTTTATTTTGCAAATAAGTAATCCTTCTTGTTTTTAGATCTTCTCCAACAACCTTCAGATTGCATATCTGGAGCATCAAAATTGACACTTGTGCAGACTGTGGATGTTTTCTCAGATTCCACTCATCATTGGAAAGCTTGGTGTATATTATTTTGGTATTGGAAACAGCTGCATTTCTCCATATATGACTTTGAAACCTCAGCATTCTGCTCGCTACGATATACGCCTGTGTTTTGAGGACCCAGATGTGATGGCGGCTGGTTTCTGTCCTCCTACCTGAAGCTGCTGCTCTTGAATCTGCTCAGAGACGGAGAGTGCCACACACCCAGAGAGAGAGAGAGAGAGAGGGAGCTAGAGAGAGAGAGGGACGCAGCAGCAGACAGCCTGTTCCCCCTGCTTCATGATGTATTCACAACCAGAACATGTTGTTTTGAGATCCACATGGCAGATTCTTGTTAGCCTCGATCCTGAATAATCAGTTGTTGCCAGGGCTCCCCGCGGCAGCCTGTAGGGCCACAGAGACGTGCCCAAGGAACCTTTGGGGTCCCTGCTGGGAGGAGGAGGGGGCCGCTTGACTGCTGCGTCTGTCTATCAGGAGATTTGTGGGGAAGCTTGGGGCACAGAGTGGAGACAGTGTCAGGGCGATACCCTTGACGGTGATGTGATTGAGTAGACAGCTGTGACCCGTTCCTTTCTTTACCCGCCACCCATCTCTTCCCTCCATCCCCAACCGCTTTTTCTTACACAACCTCTCCCCCGGAGTGAGCGATCACTTAAAACAGCAATGGTTATTATACCTAAGCACATCCTAGTAATTTATGCATGATTGCCTGGCAATCTGAGGTAATTCATCATCCTCTTTCCTATCTTTCTTTTTTTAATCTGTTGGTGTCTTGTTCCTCTGGACCTTAATCTATAGGGCTATTAAGAATGCCTGTGTAATAATGGCTCAGCTCAGGTGACAGCATGACATTGGCGCCGTCATTGCCGTGCAGGTTTGGGATCCTGGAGGACCACAGGCGCTACAAGAGGTCAGACAAGATGCTGTTAGACTTCTTTTTTTGTGGGTATAAAATTACAACCTTAAGTCTTATGAACTCAGGATGCTTTCCTGAAAAAAAACACTACATTATCCTGAATTACCCGTGGCGGTGTCTGATGGGTTTTCAACAAGATGAAATTCTGTTTCTGTTAGGCTGTCTTCTGGGTGGAGTCTGCAGGTCCAGGGAGATGTTTGTCTGCAAATGTGTGTGGATTTATTCTCAATATTAAAGTAGGGGTGAAGACCAGGATGCAGGCCGTATACACACGTAGCTGGGTATTTGCTAAAACGGATATATTTTTTGTACGGATCGGCCTGCCATCTACATGAAGCCGCATGAATACATCATTATAACGGTGCTTTTGGAAAACTCCTTAGTTTTAAATTCCCAACCGTCGGTGTCCGCGACAACTAATAGATAAATGGCATACACTTTATGCTCTTGTTTATGTCAGGCAGTGGATGGCACAGATACAGAATACATTTTTGTGAGGAGCAAAGCAGAGAGAGTGCTTAGCAGTCAGTTATTCCACACCAAATAACCCTTCCTCCACCTTTCTGGTGTCTTTATACTCCAGAGCGATGCTTAAAAGCAATTCCACCTCTTTCTCGGTCCACACGAATGAACTACACAGCGCTATGTTTCAATTTTGGAGAAGTGACGACGAGAAAGGGAAGCTTGCTCTGTTTAGATAGAATGGGGGGATATAACTTTTTGGCAAATACCACCAACTCCAGATCTTGCATGCCTATAACTGTGGTCAATAGCACATTTATGCAGTTTTGTGTGGATGGGATTTTATTTGAAAATATTGATGTGTGTACATGACTTTTTTTTTAACGGAGGGGGCTCAATATTTTTTTATAAAAATACCCGGCTACATGTGTGCATGGCCTCAGACAAGTAAAGGAGATGTGGATGCTCTCTGTGCAATGTCAACCATCAGCTTGGTCACTATCATTGCCTCAGACAATTACCCTTCCTGTGTGCATTCATTTGCTAAAACACAATCTTCGTATTAGTGGAGCTGGCACATTACAGTCCCTTAGATGTCTAGTCATCTGAATTGGACATTTGTCTCCCCACATGTATCCTCTCTGGTTAATTCCCCACAAGCTCACCCATTTGTTTGTCAAATGGCTTCTTAAAAAGTTGCAGAAAGCGGTTGTCAATAAAGATGACAGTGTCATCTGTTGTGGACAACATGTTTACCACCATGGCATTTATTTTTCACACAGAGACAAGTGGTTCAAATACATGGCATCGATACAAGATGGGGGACATGTCTGTCGCTGTCTGCATGCTTGTTTGCATGACTGTGTAACAATCTGAAAATATCCAGTGTGAGACAGAGGTGTGAACAGCAACAGCACAGGCTGACCCTTCTGTTGTGGAGTTATCCATCTGTGACTTACAGGCATGTCTAATGGATGCCGACCTTGCTTCATGTTCTCTATCTGTTCCATTCAGCATCTATCAACCTGGGGATGTATCTTGATTTACCCCTCTGTGCCTCTTCCACTTCCTTCTTGTTGCGGGGAGCACAGGAGTGCACCTCAGCCTGTTGTAGGCCATTGTAATCTGCTTGGGCTCAGTGAGGGCTAAATTAAGAATTGAACAGCATGAGAAAGAAGGAGACAACAGAAGGCGGCAGCTCAGGAGACAATCAGACAAGCAAATGGGCCACAGACAGTGACCTCAGCTTATCTTTATGATAATCTTTGCTTATCTAATTGGTCTGCTTTCATGCCATTTATTTACAGGGGATAAATCTTGTGTGCCTTGTACTGTATAACATCAGTCAAATTATCCCTCAGCAGCCAAGAGCTCTTTACTGAAGGAAATGCGTATACTCCTCGCTGCTGTTAGCATTGTGAAAGAAGTCCATCTAGTGTGATCTGTAATACAAAAACTAATCATGTAGAATTTTCGTAATGGCAGAACTGACGGCAGAGATGTTGCACTGGGTTGCCATAATGTTATGGTTGGTTGATGTATTTGAAATGAAATAGTCAAGAAAAATATCAAATTCTTGGGCTCTTTTTGACATATTCGTTTCTCATATATAGTTGTTCAAGAATGGGCCAGGAAATAAGCTCAGTCATTTTCTGGGGAAGAGTAAATGAACAGCAATTAACTTCTGAAAATGTCCCATTGTTATTCAATTCTTTTCATTTTGTTGGTTAAATAGACAAGATAACATGCTTGTTATCTGCAGAGGTGCATCCAGGAGGTTAATAGGTAAATTGGACAGTGTCAAAGAAAATGTCAAGCATTATTTTGTAAAGACCCGCTCTGATGAAAATTATGTTTTTCTTGTTGTCCATATGTTCATATCATTTCTCAAATGCTAGGGAACATAACATGAGAAAACTAGGAGCAAAATTACATTTCCGAGTATTTCTTCATTCAAAGAGAAATAGTATAGTAAGATTTCCTATGTCACAATTCCAAGCTCCTCCCCCGGCACCCCGCTCTACAGGCCAGACCCCGAGAAGTAGAGATGACAACTGTGGTACAAATACGTGCGGTTGCAGATTGCTCTAAAGTAAGCTAACAATGATATTAGCTTTCATCGTGTCCCCAAAGACATTAGTGTCCGAGAGCTGAATAGCTCCTATGTTACCTGCCACTTCTACTACACCGGGAATATTAGGCTGCAAGCCAGCATGAAGACGAGTGTGTAGAGCAGCGCTGTCTCTACCCACAACTCAGAGGCTAATTGCTAATGAGCTACTGGAGCTCTGCAGAAGAAAAGCCCTTGAAAATGACACAAGTTACGTACCTTTGCCTAAAAACTTCATAATCACAATTAAGCGACCACTGAGAACACTTAATATATAATATAAGTACATGTAATAATATAAAAAAAGAAAAACACAATAGGATTGGGACTTAGGTATACAGTGGTTGCAGCTAATTTCAGTTTTATTCTAAGGGAACAATCACATATTCCTGATCCGTTTTCACTTGTCCCAATGAGGTATTTGTGTCCTTTCTTTCACCCATCCGCCTCATCTTCTGTTGTTTACTTGTGTTTCTTTTGGTGCAAATGTGTTTTGAGGCCAAATATCCCCTCAATCTTCTCTACCTCTATATGTCGAATTTCTTGTCAGGGACTGACACAGAGGGTTGGAGTAATGTTAAGAACACCCAGATGGTATTCAGAAATATATGAGTCATATTTCAGTCGATGTGTTACTGTACAGAGCGGCAGTTTCTACTTTCTCTGGTTTGGAAAAAAAACAACAAAAAAAACCCCCAGGTGCTTCAAAGTCAACTGAAGCAGGTAACACTTTTTCCCCAAAAAACTTTTGAGTGTCTGGTGATTATCCCCAGATTAAAATTGGTTTCTAAGGTGTTTAAAACTGAGCAAGTTTAAGAAGTTTATTTCATGAGTAAGATCTCTGGCAAGGAAGTAATCCACCTAAAAGACACCCTGAAGATTTGGATCCGATTTGATTGTCCATGTGCCTGCCAGCGTGTGTCCTCATTTGTTTCTGTTTTAGTTTGAAGACATATGGGTGCATTTTTGGATTGTGCCTCCAAACATTAAAACACGCACGCACGCACACACACACACACACTTATAAAGCAGTGCGTTGATTGATGCACCTGTGTTGATTTCCCATTGGTCCATGCTAGTTAAAGAAAGATGTGTGTATCAAAAACCTTTTTTTTTTCTTGACAGCAGTGGCTACACTTTATTTTTACTTCTGTCAAAGAAGGTGGCAAAAAAGGTAGTTGAGGAGGGTGATTTCTACCTGCAAGTGTTTCGAGAGGCGTTTACTCTAAAACATAAATACAAGGTCACAGGTTGGCTTGGCGTTCACATGGAAACAACTGTTTAAGAAAAAGTCTTGGAAACAGACTCTGCAGACACCAACATAGAGGAGAAAGACACAAATACAGTTCAGGTAGAGTGACTTGGGAATTTTGTAGGGGAGGTCGTAAATGTCTAAATTCATAATCATTGTCTTGAAACAAACCCAGGCATATGTGCAACAAAGAGCTCCAAGTTTGATTTGGACACAAATATTGGCCTGAACATGCAGAAGGCCAGAGTTCAATGGTGTTGTTCAGCACCTCTTGGGGTTTGGCTTCATTGCTGTTGCCCTCAGAGCATGGCAGCTCCTCAGAGGCCATTGTAGTGTACTCCATCATCTTCTCACATGGTTCACCAAGCCTGCCGGACATGTGGGCCTGTTTGATAGTCCCGTGACAGCTCAATGAGACACTTTCCTTTCATCTGCATCCTGCCATGTCTTCTCATTCTTGGTCTTTTTCATTAAACTTTCTCTTTCTCTCTCCTCTTCTCGAGAGCTCTTTTTCATCGCTCAAGGCTTTTCTTAAGAGAAGCTTGAGGATGTAGTTTGAAGGTTGTAGGGACATAATTTATAGATTTTATTTACACCTGTGTTTTCCCCCTTCATGGTAGGCTACAGCTGGCGTAGTCTTTGTGGTTGCCTGAGCAGTTTGGGTGTTTGAGATGGCCAAGCAGTCGTAGGTGTAAGTGTTTGTGACAAGCTGACAAATTCAGAGGCTCGGTGTCACAGCCTGTCTGATCGCACAAATCCTTTCCAACAATCTCTTGATAGCTGCTTTCCTCGGACAGATAGGACAGAGACGGCCCTGCAGACAGCTGTGTTTAGGGCTTAAATAGAAGACAGATAGTACAGAGGAGGGAAAGCAGACATGGTGTAATCAAAGAGATGGAAGAATGTTGTCAGTCACCATGTCTGGTGTCCTGGTAGAAGAGGGAGGATGAATACGGCTAGAAATTGAAGGATTTTTGGTGTCACAGTAGGAACCACCCCTTTCCTTCTCAAACACTTTTAAAGAATCAATCTCACCTGACTATAAATGCCCTTCCTCCTCTCATGTCATTCATCATGAAACTTTACTTTTACCTTTCTCATCTTCATCATCTCTAGAAGTAAAACATAGGGAGTGACTGAAAAGTGAAAGTCAGACACTTTTTTTTTCTGTTTTACCAACTGTTTTACACCTGAATCACACTTTGTACCTTAAGCATCAACAGCTATGCTAACATCTCTGTGAGAGCATGCAAACATGATCATAATTACAGAGCAAATATGCTAATACCATCAAGTATAACGTTTTCCAATGTTTTTTTTCTTTCATAGTGTTGGCATGCTCACATTTTTAATTTGCAGTAATGACTAAGTACAGCTAAGTCTAACAGGGATATAGAAGGTATTTACTTAGAGGATATAAACACGGGGCTGATGTTGGGTTTTAAATATTGAGACATTCCTCATAGCAGCCTTAGATTTAAAGATATCCCAAAAGTCAGAAGAGGTTCATCAACAGCTATCCATGGATAACTGTTGATCAAAAACTTTTGAGATTACCAAAGTTTGTCTTGGTGACTTATATTGATATCCATAATGCTATGCTTCATGCTGTTCTCGGATTAAAGAAATTAAACACAGTGATGATCTCATACTGCTCTGCACTGACCATTAAAATAAGGTCAGACTGTCTTTAAGTTCACTACTTGTTCACTTGTGATACATGGGAACTTATTTCTAACCAATGTACTTGTACGGCCCTTTGACCCAAAATCTATAAGAGTGTAAATTGTTCGTAAAAACAGAATTCATTGTTTGCAAATCATTTAAAAGGTTATAATTGATTAAAATAGATATACCAACACAATATATCAAATGTTGAAATTGAAAAAAAAATAAAAGATTGTTTAAATAGGGGGTATTTTACCTTTTTTTCCAGACTCTATAATCCCTCTCTGATACCTCCAGCATAAAGTTCCTGATTGCAAATATGCAAAGTATTTGAAGATTTCATTGATTAAATTTTCATTGATCAAAAAATCTTTAAAAAAATTCAGAGAATTTATAGGAAATCTTACAAAGTAGAAGGCACCACATTAAAAGGGACATGACTCGTTTTAATTACTCTAAATAGAGAAATTAGCGCATTAACACAAAATCACATCCAAAAATGCCTGAGAACTGTGTGATGCTACAACAACTAAACTGTACCAAACAAAGAAAAAGCCATATATGAACATGCTTGATCCTGAAATCAAGGCAACTTCTCTAGGCCCAAACTTTTGGACTGAGACGAGAGGAAAACCTTCCTGTAGAAATCATGGATGTAGCATGTGCCTCTGCTCTCAATGGTAAAGGGACCAAACTTTTTTTTGTTTGTCTGTAATTAGGCTGAATCAGTAAGTGGAACCAGAGTCATTTGTGAACAGCCACCTGCCTGAACTGGATCAGCATTGAATGTGGGATAGAGGATGATGCAGACAGACAGACAGACAGACAGAAATAGAAAGAAAGAAAGAAAGAAAGAAAGAAAGAAAGAAAGAAAGAAAGAAAGAAAGAAAGAAAGAAAGAAAGAAAGAGGAGTCTGAGACAAACATAGGGACACACAGACGAGCAGCACTCCATGCAACAATGAAAGGAACATGGGATAAAACAGGCATTTGGTTACAACTGTCACATCTCCTGGTTAGTTAAGTTGTTATTTTCATCCCTCATATTTCTTGTCTTGTGTTTCCTGTTTTATTTTGATACTCACCCTTGTTTCTTGTTTCAGAGTCTATGGCTGTGTCCGAAATGAATCACTCAATCCCTAACCCCTAACCCCCATATGAGGTTTTACTATATAGTTGACTATGTAGTGAACTCAATTACCTGAGGTTTTGGACACTTCATGGCAAGACGCAATGCATGACGGGATGTCCACCACCGGTGAGTGACCATCGGATGGTCACTACATTTTGCAGTGCTTTATGGGAAATTCTGAGTCACCTATATTGGGCACTGGAATTGATCGCTGAGGTTTCGGACACCCCTCTAACCCCCATATAGTCACCTATATAGGGGTTAGGGATCCATTTCGAACACAGCCACTGACTTCCTCCTCCTTGTGTAACCTGCTCCCCTGATTACCCTGATGTGTCTCACCTGTGTCTCATTAACTCCACTGCTCTGGTGTATTTAAACCCAGCTTTCCCTCCCTTCTGTGCCACTTCATCTTGTCCTTAGTGTCAGAGTTCCAGCATTTATTCCTTGTGTTTGCCTCAGTGTTTTGACCTTTTCTCAGTACTGTTTGACTTAGCCTCTTGCCTGTCGATTTGGATACCTCTGCCTGTGCTCTTTTGGATCCTGTGTACCGACTCTTTTTTTGATTAAATGGACTTTGATTTTGCCAGCCTGTGAGTCTGCATCTGGGTCTTTTTTTGGTTCAGTGTTACAACAACGTCAGTATTTACAATAACAACCATGATAATCTTAATATTAGGGAATGCAGCCACACAAGGGAGCACAGAAACTCTTGGGCGGATATTAAGTTAGAAATATGCACTGATGGGACATGAATGCATCCAACTTGTCATATACAAACAGTACTGCACATATGTTTATGCACATGTGCATGTAGACACTGACACTCCAACTGCTAGATGCACTTTACAGAACAGCTGCTGTCGTATGGTTAAAATGTAAAAATCTTAAATACATGAACTCAGTCAGGGACATGTGCAACAGCAGCAGCTATAGAGTCTAAAAGACAAAAGAAAAGCTGAATTTACAACCCAGACTTGACACACTTTTTACTGATAGGATCTATTTAAAATATCTGGCCCAGCAGCCTGGCAATGCACACAAAGCCCCAGAAGAGTACCAAATTGAAAAGAGAAAAAAAAAAACCTTACAAATTCAACAGAATAGTATCCACAACCATGCATGATGCTGTGTTTGTAAAAGACAATGGAGTCCCATTTCTGCGCCTCTCAGTCTGTGGGATTAAGGGAAATAAAAGGGAATTTGATTTCAGACAGGTGTTTTACCCTAAAACCTCTGAGGGCTCTCCTCCTGACAGAGCTACTTCAAAACCCCCTGCAAAAAGTGAGGAGGGGCTGTCACCAGCAAGTCCCCGCTGATGTGTCAGAGAGCTTCAAACTTTTACGGATTTATTTATTCATCCATATCTGTTTGTGTGCATATTTCATCCTCTTTGCTGCATTACTGCAGGGCTTTGGGCCACATTTATAATCAGTGAGATCATCTTGTATGAGTAATTTCCCTTAAGGTGGTGGTGTAATTCTGAATATGTTACTCTGTCCCTGATGACTCTTTTGGGAACGCGTACAGTTTTGTCCTTTTGTGCTTTAACTCACAGTGAGACCCCAGTTCAATCTCCACTAGCGTTGTTGGGTGTTAAATATACCCGAAAATTAATCAAAGCATCATATTTCAGCTACAGCGTCCACAGTTAAATTCTCCACAGATAATATCCCATTACTTTTGATTTTATGATCCCATTTTGATTTGTTGGTTTGACAGATAGGCCTTTGGTGCCAGCCAGTCTCTTTGCACTCACTCCTGACTGACTGTGTATGGTAATTAATCATCGACACTGTACTCATTTGGATTATTGATACCTAAATAATAGACAGTTAATTCTTATATTGGAGACAGAGTAACTTGCAGATTTTTTTCTGTATTTCAATGAGTCATTTCCCCCTCTGCAAGATATTGACTGTCTTAATCGTATTTCATTAGGCGCTCAATCTTGTTTTTCCTCACTGCTTATAAAAATTCCCAAGACTTTAATTTCTTTTGGTAACATATATCAGTTTTTTTTTGAAAGGCTGTCAACTCCCTTTGCACAAATTTTACTTCAGTCAACAGATTAGTTTCCTCCTCCCATTTTTTTATTCTTCTTTCATTCTCAGTTTTTCCAAAATTTCTCTCACTCCCTCTTCCTTTCCATTTCCACGCATCAAAAGAGCTTGATGGTTTGACAGGATGGGCCCTAGAAACTTGCTGCCTCCCTCCAGACCCTCCAAAGTCTCTGCTCCCTCATTGAACTGTTTTCTGCCCCATTTCTGGGTTTTATTTTTTTCCATGGCAACTCAGAGCCAGCGAGCGTGTGAGCGAAAGGAGTGAGGTCTCCTGTGGAAGCAGCATCTTGTATGAGACAGCTGTCTGCTAAGAAGACAAAGGGAAGAGGAAAAAGAAGAAGGCGAAGTTTGGGAAAGTTGTTTTTTTCCCCCTTTAACATGAAAACAACTTCAAAGATTGCAGCTATCTGTGCAATGATCTACAGCTGCATTTAGCTAAACCTTCAGCCAGTCTCAGTCCCCAAGCATTGGGTCTCTGCAGTGCTTTACAAAGTCCACTTATGATAATACATCCACCATTCAATAATGAACACTCTGGTCCCCTTTTCACTGGTTCCAAAGCAACCTGTTCACTTGACGCTGTATCTGCTGACTGACAGTCCTCAAAGTTTTATCCATGGGACTTCCTCAGTGGAAGTAACCCACATTTCACTCTATTTTAAGTGTCAGATACAAGGCCTCACCAGAGCACACGAGTCTCTCCACGCTACATGTATCAAATAGGACCTGGTTCCCTGGAAAGCCTACATGTACACTTGATTCTTTTCTTACACGAGAGCCTCTCTTACAATCCTTAGCCCCTCCTCTGCAGGTTCTCCGGTTGAATGTGGAGCGACAAGACGACTTTTAAGTCGGGTTATGCCCGCGTCTTCTGTAGGATTACACCAGAATCCCAATGGTTTTAAACAGTCACACTCTGCCACTCAAAGCCCGACATTTTCGTTTATTAAAGGAGCTTGGGAGCCCGCGCTGACAAGTGAAGCGTTTTGTAGAGGCGGAATAAGGGGAGAGGAGAACAGGATTCAGCAACTGGGGTTTTCCTTTTTAAAAGTTTCAGTCTTAAGACTCTCATAGCCTTTGTCACTTTGTTTAGAAATTCAGCCACAATTGTTGCCCAGGGACACAGTAGCCAAGGAGCCAGGGTTGGAAATCAACTAAAGCAAGAGTTGTGATCGCCACGTCTTAAAAGGAATAATTTCCTCTTAGATTAATATTTGTATTGTATAAAATCAGCTCCTCTGACTTTTATGCTACAATAAAAGGTTGATGATAGCTTTCTTTTGCTACAAAAATGCAGCATTATCAGAAGGGTGGAGAGAGCAGATCGTGGATAAGTAAAAGGGGAAAAGGCATTACATAATAATTGGGTAAGTGAATGTCAGAAAAAGAGAGGGGGGCTAGGAGAAAGGGCATCCTTGCATTATTTATTTAGTCATTATTTCTATTATTGCTTTTTTTATTTTAGCAGATCCATCTCTGACCATCTGGGGTCAGCAGCCATCACCCTTAACTTTGTGTCGAAAAAAGGAAGTTACAGATCACCAAGGTGCACCCTTATCCAAACCAGCAGCAAGTTTGTTTTCAGATGGCCCTTTTTCACCTGTTTTAATATGATTTCTTTTTGCTCACACGTGTCTCTGCAAAAACACTTTTTAAAAAGCTTATGTTAAAAAAAGAAATTCTTCAATTTAGGTATCAGGTCTCAGAACATCTAAAGGGATATTCCAGCATACATTTAATTTATGGTCAAACACATCGTAACACCAAATTAGACACCCCCTCAAGAGATGAATGTTGCCGACTGCTTGTTTCTCTAGTTGTACCATCTTTAGCAATGACCGCACAATAGCAATACACAGCGGCTTATAGCTCCATGTGCAAATCTCAACTAAAAAGCCACAAATAATGCTCAGAACAGCACCTAACTTCATCAACAGTACATACAGCGTCCCAGCCATAGTACTAGCCATCAAACATCTTTTAAGCTTTGTTTGGTTTCTTTAGCAAAGAGACCAAACACAACTTACCCACTCTTTTCCAGCAGCCGCTTGTTTGTGGGGGAGCCCTGACAAGTCGATCACCGAGTGCAACTGAGTTTCGTGGCTGAAGTTTATATAACTAGAGAAGCATGTAGTTGGCAACATTTACCTCTCAAGGGAGCGTCTAACTTGGTGTTACGATGTGTTTGACCATAACTTAATTTTACGCCTGAGTATCCCCGTTAACTCAACGAACTAGTACCATCCATATCAGCATCCTAAAACTGTTGTTTCAGCTCTTTTGACTCGCTCGGTGTCCAGCATTAACAGCAGCCATTACCGTCCAATCCGTTTGATGGTTTTAACGACAGGTTCACAGTAAAAGCCTCAGTATATGGTAACAGGCTTGAGTCAACAAAGACAATGGATAGATAACAACATGTCTGCCCCTCATCCATCCCCCATGTTTCCTCGGTGTAATTGACAGTGCTTTCTTCTCAAACTACGTCCTCTGTCAGTGTTATGGTGTTTATCTTCTGGCAGTCACTCCCTGCAAATATGGATTCAGTTCATGACAATCCATCATTTATGACAAGTCCACACTGTAATCTATTTTAAACAGCAGGGTATGATGCTGATGATGCATGGCAGAAGAGGCTGTACACTGCGCACACTTATAGGCGTGCATATTGATAATCAATTTTTGTTCATTTTGACCGTACAAAAAAAAAAAAAAAATCATCACTCTGTGTTGTAAAGCTTGAATATAGTGACTGATACACACTGTGATTTTCTGTATTGACACCTCTCATTGCTTAAAACACTGCAAAAGTGACAAGGGCTAAATTGAAACATGATGGTGGAAACACAACTAACAAAGCGCATTTAGTGGACATCTATCCTATTAACCGGAGCACGATACACTGCACTCCAAACTGAAATAAGTAATGAAGCAAACATGCCCAGAGTCATATTGTTTATTGATTTGTCGAAGTGAGACAAGAGTATAAACAGGGAAAAGCTGCAGCCGGAGTCAAAGTCTAGATGGGTGAGTTTAATGTGTATGAGAGAGGCAAAAGAACTAAGTTTGTGACGCTGATTAAACACATGTATGCTACAACATGTGTGTGTATGTGGTGACGATAAGAGGCATGATCACAGGGTTAACCTCCAGGGTGACATTCAGGGATCAGTCATAAAAGTGAGGATATCTTCCTGCCGCATTTTCGTGGTATCTTTATTCATTTTAGCTGGGATTGATAAAGGAAGTGGCAAATATTACCATAGCAACATGGCAACTATCCAACTACACTCAGCAACAGTTCTGCTTGTAGCCCACAACATTTTAAAATGCTAGATGTGTCGGCCCCGCAACCTTTTTTTAGATAAAAATGTGTCATGTAAACTGACAGAAGACAGCATAGACGTTCAGACATCAATAATCATTTTTATGATTGAATACATCTCCAGATTCATCCCTCTCATTCTGGTCTTTGTCATCTAAACCCTCACTCCTGCCTCATCCCTTTTTCCCTCCCATCATCACCCTCTCATCCTCAGCGCTCTCAGTGGCACTAAGCCTGTGAATTCCTGAGCATTTTTTGGAGATATCTCTGCGCTTTCTTCTTGCTCCCAGCCCAGCGACAATTTCAATCTGCCTGCCGGTTTGAAGGGATTGCCAGGTGCTCCTGGCTCCACCATATGTCCTGTGACATGCTGTGCTGTCTCGGGAATGAGGGAGTGAGGAGAGGTTAAATATGAGGCTATCTGGATCTACCTCTGAGAACTCCTCTCCATGAAACTCAGTTGGCTGACACGTGGCGGAAACACACCCCACCAAAACTAAAACCTGTCCCTAATTCTCTCTTTGCATTTGCCCTGAGCAAGGCTCAGATATATGGATGGCAGGGAGTTTTTCATCGGGTCTCCACAGGGTCGGAAAAACAGATCCTATTTCAGTGAGCCAGTTGGCTTGGTGTGGCGCAGTGACCGCATCGCCATCTTCTTCTCGGAGTCTGTCAGTCAGTCACAGTCTGCTGGGCTGCAGATACAGTGGTCAGGCAGGAGTTCATTCTTTTCTGGTGTCTTTGTCTCAACGTGTCTCTTACTGCCAGACATATCTTTGAAGTCTGAAACTTCAGTCTGTGCCTCTGTCTCTGTGTTCGATCCAGGTCTGTGATTCTGCGCTGAACTGGTCACACCGTCGGTCCAGCTGCTCCTCCTGCCTCGAGGTACAGCCTGTGAGCCCACTGATAGTTCTGCTAGCACAAAGGCACCATCATAGCACACACAGACCGTTCATGCGCAGATGCATGCACATACAAACACAACACCCCACAGTAGAGTAGCTGCACAAACAAACACTAAATGTTACCTTTGGTTTGTATCTCTCCAGTGCAGGAGAGGCTGATGTTCAGATCAGAACTGAGCAAGGAGCAACCACAACAGACATGCTGTCCTCTATTAAGTATGCACTCTATCTCACGGATGCCCATTCTCCCAGAGGTCCCAGCAGCCCACGGTGTGCTGAAGTTCCTAGGACTGCAGATGAATTGTGACAGACTTTAAATGTTAGGAGGAGAAGCCCTCATCACCCATCACCTCTGCCAGATGAAAGGCCTGAAAGCAGGCAGCCACCCTGCTGGACACAGCTCAGCTGTTCCACCAAGTGTTTGACAGGAGTGGCAGGTACTTGACCTTCTCTCTGGCTTTTTCCTCTCCCTCGCTTCTGCTCCTCTTCTTCCTCCTCTTCTTCTCTCGCTACTTTCCCCTGCACTCTCTTGCTCTGTGTCATTGCCTCGCCACAGGCTGACCACTCTTGCTCCTCCCAGCCTCTCTGGTGCTGTCAAAGAGCTAACAGTCCCAGTGCGCGGTGGTACGCCTGCACTCCTTGTTTGTTTATACCCCTTTTTTTTTTCTAAAGAAGAATACAAGATACAGCCTTTTTGCGAGGTCAGTCTTGCTGGTGAGTAGTCTGCTGTGCTGTTTCACATGGTACCAGGTGTGGGGGAGAATAAGCAGCTTGAGGTCAAAGGTCAAAGAGATGAGAGGGAGAGGAGAGATGCTGCAGTGGATATGTAAAAGCAGATGCAGGAGGGCTCTCTATACATAAACAGGAGTCTGTCCTCTGATGTAGAGTCGACATGAAGATTATGACATTACAACAACATCGGTAGGCTAAATCAAAGGAGACGTACAGTTGCTTCTTACTGTATTTAGAGTTTATGTTTGCTTGTCGGGGTGGGAAAGGAAGTTGAATTTTTAACTGCCTTGATGCACATTTCCATTCCTGCGGCAGACAGTGTCCCATGTATTCATCTCTCCCAACAATGGCGAAATGTCAGCATACTTTCAGGCTGCTCTAAATTAAACATTCATCCCCTCTGAGTATACAGCTATAGAGCTCCCCGACAACATTATTTTTTATTTGCTTATAGAGAGGTACGACCGTGTGAAGATCAGGACGTTTTCTCTCACTTAGGACCAGACAAAAAGGTGAAGATGTACATTTTCTGGTTCTGAGATATGCCAAAAGACAAACTGTGTGGCTGGTTTTCTGGTCACATCCCAAACGTCCCAGGCTTCAATATGTGCAATGGCCGAGAAAGTTGAAGACAAGACTTAAGATGGGGAGGAGGATATTTTATTAATGGGGACTATTAATATTCCATCGCAGTGGGACGATGGTGTGTTTCTTTTTGCAGAAGCATAATGAATAACTGAGCGCCTCCATGGTACCCGATTCCTCACCATGAATATTCAAGCATTTTGTGGTGCATCATGGGAGTTTTGAGAGCCTCTCCTCCACCCTGTAGTGGATCACACCCGAGCATCTTGCCTCACTTCTGTTATTTCCTTCCTTGCACACTCAGGCATGCTGCTTAGGCTGGTAGCATCTGGGGACCAGCACCTATAGATCTGATCCCTGGCTCTCAATACCAGGCCTCCACCGAGGCTGGATTGATTGATTACACTGCTCTGGCTTTGTGTGGGTTTTTAATTGATTGATTAATTGTGGGCCGGAGCTGAGATGTGATTGATTATGAGTAGTCAGCAGTGGGTTGGAGTCCAGCCGTCAAAGCCAACAGGGTGAGAGGTGAGTTCTTGTGGTTGCTGTAATATGCTCATTCTTTCGTCTCTGACACCCGCTGCAGCCACACTCCGTTCTTGCCCTACTCGCCTCCCTGGAGCTCCTTTTTCTCCCCACTTTCACTTTACGTGACTATGTTCACCTGTGCAGCTTTGAATGTTCTGTCCTTCCACGGTAAAGTGTTCAATAATGTCAGGTCTCCAGCATTCAGCAGATACAACAAACGGTTTCTTACAAACCTTAAAGACTTATTTCTTGAGGAGCCCATAAAGAAAAGGAATAGAAAGGAAAAAGAAACAGTTCAAATATAAAGAGACGTTGGACAAAGAGAGGTGAATAATGGAGAACGCATGTGACGGAGCAGAGCGAGAAAGGAGTGTGACCCCACTCAAGACAGCCTATTCAGAAATGACGGTGAATAAGAGAGAAAGAGAAATGAGAGTAAGATAGAAAGAATGAATCAATCTGATTATATAGAGAAGAAAAAGTAGGAAGTGGAAGAAAGAAACAAACAAACATTTCAACAATAGCTGTGTCTGTTTCTCGGCGAATGATTTACTGTCCCTCCGGACCAATAAATAACAAAAACCTTTCATTATGTCGACCAGCTCTTCTATTAGTCCAAGATTAAGGTCAGTCTGGGTATGATGACCAAGACAAACAGCCAAGATGCATTTCCTCCAGTTTCATTAGAATCAGAGCTGTCTCAGGGCGTGTGACAGATTAGCAGATGAATGAATTAACTAATGAACTGAAGAACTAATGAGCAACCAAAACAGAAGAGAAAACAAGTAACTGAATGAATAAATGCCTTTCTGAATGGACCACAGAGTCTATAGTGGAAATGAGTCTACAAACACAATCTGTTTCCCTCTTTTAAACCACCTTGGTTTCTTGAAGAACAGGCCGAGCGTCTTGACAGTTAAAGACTTTGTCAAATCCCTCTAAAAAATGGGGATGAAACAGGAACAAGCGCCCAATTTGCTCGACATGTCTCACAGGGAAACGTCAGAAGTGGTTGGGAGGACGCGTGTGATGTGTTTTGCTAATAAATATCCCCGAGCTGCTGTAGGTCCATGTTAAAGGTTAAAGCATCGCCAAACAAACACAAACACTGGATGCATAAAGATTCCTTTTTGTACTTATGAGACTCAGGGCTAAAAACTGAAAAGGTCAAGTATCGCTGTGTTATCCTATAAGATAAAAAGTACACACCGTAATCCTTCTTATGTCATTATCCTTCAGGAGCTCATAGCTGGAGCCAAGATGACAGGCTTTCCTTTCCTCCTTTCATACATAGATCACAGCAGACATATTTGAAGTTTGAGATGTGTCTTTACTTTCATATAATTACTCGGGTTGGGCATCTTAGGTATAATGCTGATTTGATACACATCTAGGTACAATGTCTCCAATCTGATATATTAAAGATACGTGTGGCATTATGAAGGTAAACAAAAGTTAGCTTCTTCCTTCTCCTTTTTTGAGCATGTAGAAACCTTTAATTTAATTGATTTTTGGAGAATAGCTTTGGGTTTGGTATTTCACAACGAGGCTCAAAGACATGGAGGAGGCGTTTGAAACATTTGTTTTCTGTTACACTGTAAGGACGAATATCTTTGCACATGAAGAATGCTACAGCATACGCTATTGCCATTCTGCATGTAGAGTTATTAGGAAGCAGGGCATGGAAGAAACTTGAAGTACTTTGCTCACCACTTATGGAGCTTCCGGCTGCAGGGGAATCCGAGCTGGAAGCAGGGGAGGCGGGGGCGTTAGCAGACAACTTCACAACAATGCTGTGGTGCCGCGTAATTAGGTTAGTGGTACTTCCTGTGATTTTTACAGCAGCATGGCACAGTTTTTGCAAAACTGTCTTGTCAAGTTGTCCGTCTTTCTTGTAAAACCCGTAGTGTTGCCAGACTTCAGATTTACAACTCAGAGAAAGGTAAATTTGCTCAGCGACTGACATATTTGTTTACCTTACTCCTCACACTCCTTCTGACTGTTAGTATTCATCCGCAGTGCATATAGTGCATTTGTAGAGCTGAGTTTGTAGTGAACATCCACAAGTCTGAAGAAATTATGCCCTCAAAATGGTTTGGTTATGTAAAAATAAAAGTTATGCATTAAACGAATCTGACTGTATCAATTCAAACATACATACGATACATACGATACACCTCAATATGCATTCAAAACTGCATTCACTCTCCGCTGCTCTACCGGTGTCCTGCATGCGTGTAACTGCGTATCGGTATCGGTTAACCTTCTCATCCCTAGTATTTATACCTTTTATTTTAACAGTATTTTAAAACTAAATGAAAACAAGTGCAGGGTTGTAGTGTCTTAGCAAGGTGGACAATGTTAGTTGGTGGTTCCGACTGTGTATTCTGTTCGCTGGTCATCAGTGTTACTCATTAGGCCACTGAGACCCAGAGTTACCAGAGTCCTGTTTTTGCATAATCCCGGAGCTTTCTGGAGTGTCCTTCAGAAGTATCCTCCAGTAGCTCCAGTAGTGCTATTGTCAATATGTGAATTATGTAAACTGAATCTCCATCCAAACACAAGGTTAAACAGCAAGTACTGTATGTCTCGAGTCATAGTAGAAAGATAAATTCACAGAGTAGGAATGTTCTCTAATTGATTCTTTCAAACTAGTTGCAGCCTTGTCTTGATTCCCCATTGTCTTTTAATAGCCTTTAGAAAGGACAGCCTCTCCTGCGTCGTCTGTCTTTGCACTTTGAAAAGTCAAAAGGGACTTATTAGACATTTGCACTCTTTGCACCTGGCACTTTTTGCCTTTTTTATTGAGCATTTAAAAGCAGGAATGAGTCCTTAGACAATTAAATTTCTCTCAGTGTGCGTCTAACTTTTACTGATCTCACTCTGAGTGAGGCGTTTGATATAACCGACTGCAAAGTAAACAATCAAGTTCCCATTTTCTGCAGTGAAACACAAACACGTCATGAAGATTTATAGATCTTATAAGAAAGTACAATTTTATACCCCACCCCAACAAACCAATTAACAAACAAATGATCACCCAGAGCTTTATGGAGCTTTGCAGCATGTTTCAGCTCATTGTTCCGTTGCGGTCTTGTTTGATTGTCACTGCTCTGATTGTGTAACTTCTAGTTGCAGCAGGCAGCTGTTTACAAGCTGAAAGACATGCTGCATCCGTCTTTATCTAAGTTCCACTCACTGCAAATCAATAAGAGGAACACACTGCCAAAAAACCTGAAAAATCATAGAATAGAAAAATACTTTAAGTCTCCCATGAGAATTTTACTCGAGCTGAAGACTTAAAGTATATTCTCTCTACTTAAGTATCAAAAGTACTCAAGTAAATGTACTCCAAGTAAAAGTAAAAAGTCAAAGTTAAATTACAAATAAATATATTTTTATTTTTTTGCAAAATTCCCCTCAGGTAGATGCAAGCAACAGCTTTGAAAAATAAATGGACACACACGTAGAGGGGCACACACACCACCAATCAGGAGAAACAACAGTGCATTCTCCTACAGTCAAGAAGGAACTTAGGATGGAAGTTGGGCATGACGAGAACCAGCAAACAGACACTGGACATTTATATGGGTGCAAGCAACTGTGCAACCTGCTTGACAATGAACAAGTTCAATGCAAATCATCATTAAGTAGAACTGTCATAGTAACTAAGTAAAAATAGCAGTAGCGAAGATGCCTCTGTGAAACGTAGTAGAGTAAAAGAATACTTTTTTTTTATTTTTAGAAATGTAGCCAAAAGTAAAAGTTGCAGGCACAAAAAAAAAAAAAAAAAAAAACTCCAGTAAAGTACAGATACTTCAAAATTATACTCAAGTACTGTACTTAAGTATTGCTACTTACTTACTATACAACACCGGCAGAAAGTGTGCAATAGCATTGGAAGACTGCAAGTTTCAGGACCTGAGAAGTAACAAGAGCATCACAGCGGGCAGAATATACTTAAGTGAAAGAAATAATAGCACACCGTTGATGACAGCCCTGACCCACTATTGGACCCCCCTCTTGCATGCAATTTGCAGTCTCTCATTGAGGTTTCATGGACAGCTGCTGGACATGTTTCTGCACTCCAGACAGAAGACGTCCTGTCATGTGCTTCAATTTAAATCAACACCATCAGAATACAGCCTTGGGTCAGAGCGCTGATGGATCTGCTGCTTAAATTAACTCAGTGTCTGTCCATCTGCAACTTCATAAACAACATTCAGCCGTTTAGTTATTGTTGATGTTACCTGTGTTTCAATTTGAGGTCAAACTTTAAAATGATTTTCTAAAAGTTGTTCCTGTAATTTTGCTACATTGACAGCATCAGCACTTTCAGCAGTTTCTTGCATCATTAATTTTTCCCAGTTGTTGTCGCCTTACTGCTTACTCTTAAAAATTTTCAGAATTTTAGGTCAGGCTGCCATTTGTCACCTGGAAGTCCTTTTTGTCACTTTGTTATCCTGTGGGTTTCATAAGATTTCTATTTATGTTTATCAGCATGAACAATCATCCTTTATCAGAGGCAGCAGAGACATATTTGAGACATGGCGCATGATAAATGCACGCTTCAGAGGTTTTCCTGGACAGTGATGGCAGCAGTAATAAGATTTCTCACTCAGGTAGAAGTAAGGGTAAAAAATGTTCATAAATAACACACCTGTTGAAAAATGCCTCTTTGTACCATATGACTGTATTGTGTGATAATGATGAAAATTGTTTGCAGATATTAATTAAAGCTATTTGAAAATAAATAAATAAATAACATTCAGTTTTTTATTTTAAACTTTGGGTGTCAGGCCTAGTTCAGAGGACACCAGTCTAGTTTATTTTTATCACTCACTAATTGATACAAATTATTTACTGAACTTCAAAAAATCTGCAGTGGAGTTAGAGTTTGAAGATCTTCCTCCTGAAATACAGAAGCGCAGCAGACATACAGTGTGGCATAAAAGAAGTATGATGTGGTGTGCCGTAGCCATGAGAAATGAAGCAGCAGGGCCTTTTGTGCAGCTGCATCAGGCTTTCACCGTAACCTCAGGTTATATGTAGATCTGTTCAGGCCAAGATTGTCAGCATTCATGTGCAAATTTTAAGCATATGGAAAACTCTACATGAGAACTGGCTATTGCAAGTGGATGGCACCGTGAATTTTGCTGCGTTCCATTTGTACTTGGAAGTTGGATTTTCTGAGTTCCCAGTCAGAAATTCATCTGGAATGCCCCTCTGAAATCAGATTTCCGACTTGGAATGTTGGATGATCCTCACCAACCCCGACTTGACAACAATGTCATATTCAAATTCAACTTTCTTTGTATGGCACTTTTCAGACAGAAAGATGTCTGAAAAAAGTGCCACACAGAGGCCAGAAACAACAATTAAAAAACAATAAAACCAGATCTTCCCACTCACACACCCACCCATGGACCCACACACACAGACACACACCTACACATACACACACAAGCGCACACAAAGTGAGAATTTAAGATATATTGTTAAAGAGATAATCCAAGATGACAGTGAACAATGAAAGCTCTAATAACGTATTATTTATTAGCACTTCTGTTTTGTTTTTGTGAAATTAAATAAGTGGTATATGTGGTTCCGTCCAACACCTAACTGTGGACATGGTACTATGTTGTTTGTATGGCTAAACATTATAACAGCAAGCGCCTACCTTGATTTTCAGACTTGTTTACCCCAATGCCATCAACTTGGGTGCAACATCCCACTGGACAATAGACGGCTATTAGACGTCTAGTTTTTTTTTTTTTTAGACCTAATTTCAACCGTCTAGATTCTGTATATTTTTAGATGGAATTTAGATGTCACACTTTAACCCATTATTCGATAACTATTTATTCCAAAAAGCAACTGTGAGTTGCATAACTGATATCCAAGTAGTTAACCAATGTAATTATGATAGCTGTTGAGCAATATACAGTGTATTATCTAGCCCAGATTTAGATTTAGTCTAAACTTAGGTCTACATTTAGACATCTAAAAAACTCTCATTTTTAGATCTGTGGTAGCCTGAGACCATTTTAGACCAGTCATCTAGGCTACATTTAGATGTCTACTAGACCTCTTTTAGACCAAAAAATGCTCAGTGGGGTCATTCCCGGGTTCAACTTCCAAGGTAACTAAGACTCAGCATATGTCCAAAGACTATTGGCATGCTGGTGAATTCGGGGCAGGACCACTTTTAGTGCCCAGTGTACATAAACTTGGTCAAGGACAGAAGTGCTGTTAAATGTCCTGACTCAGCCATAACTGTAGTTCAACTTCACTGTGCATGTAAACAGACTGAAGGTCTGACAGCTTTCCTCTGATATGCACAAAGATATAAGACCCTGAATGGACCTACTTAGATTGCATCACTGCTCATTGGTACCTTCATCCAGAATTCGCCTTAACAACAGTCAAGTCACGTGTGAGTTTGGCCTGTGGTGTTTTTAAGATGCTGGTTGTACTGTGGATCAAGAGGTGCATCAGGCTTTGGCTCTGGACAGTCTGAGGGTTCCCTGTGGGGCCTGGCAACAGACGCACAGTAACAGAGTGAATGCTACTAACCCTTCCTGCTTCCATTAGAGACAGAAACTAGAGGATTACTGCCAGGGGCAAGGCTAATGACTGTCATGGCCACAGAAAGCCGATTTAGGAAAACCGTGGCAGGGAGGCGTGAAGCCAAAATCTCCCTCTAAGACCCTGTGTGAGGGGCCTTAATAAAGGAGACACTCTGCTCTGTCGTTGGCTTTCTAAAGAGAAAAAGTTGTTAAAATCCCAAAGAGTATGTAAACTAGTATGTATCCTGTAGGGCCTTTTAAGCAGTGTTGACTGAGAGTAAGGAAACACAACCAAAAATGTATGCATATACAAAATGGATAACTGGCAAGTAACTTCAAGCAGATCTGCAAACATAACCAAAATATCACTTGAGTCTTTTTTTAAAAAATCGTAGCTGAAAAAAGCAGCCCCATCATGAGAAATAATTCACTAAAATTGATGAGCAGCGAGTTGGAGCATGCTCACAACAAGGGGCGACAATGTTAAAGAAACATGATGGATGTGTGTAAAGGCTATGGCTCCATGACAGCATTCAATTCATGTTTTCACTGCAGGGTTTTGCAAATACGAGCCTTCCTTAACTAGGACGTGATCATTGAAAAAAGAGGACAATTTGATGGATTTTTCTTTTGGCACGTTAAGGAGCAATGCCCAGCAGGGAATGCAACAAGAGTCCTCACTGCCGCCAGGACGCCTTTATATTCCACACGACACCATCCAGAGACACTTCAGCTCGGTGACATTTAAGAATATCTGATCTGAGGAATTTCTTATCTTTCACTGCTACTTCTCTCATTCCCTCCATTTTCTCTTTCTCTCTCTCCATTTCTTCTGCCCTCAGAGTTGTCCTCCCTTGCTCCCTCTTCTGTCTAAATAACATGCACACACAAACACACATGCCTGGGCATTGATTCCACTAGTTCAGAGAGTACAGGGGCAAGGGAGAGCACTCATGGAGAAGTTTGTACAATTGATCTCTGGAGGGCTCGAGACGCGGGACCTTTTCTCTCCTCTGTCTCAGTCTGTCTCTCTTATAACCTCTCACGCTCTCTCTCTGCCTATCTACTCTCCTGCCCCTTTTGTTTCCTCTGGCTGAATATGCATTTTCAGAGGAAGAGTAAAGACAAGTATAGGAACAGGAATATGAGGACTTGGAGTTTGGGTAAAGGATCTTAACTTTGAAAAAAAAAGGGAAAAAGGAAGAAAAACCTTTATCCACAGAGGAAGCATCCTGGTTGACTCGGCAGCAGGACTTAAGGATGTTACACAATGTGTGTCAGCGAGCAGATTAGTGCTTTCTCCAGCAGCCCCTCTTTGTGGAAATCCAGGGTGCTTTAAGATTAAAAGAAGAGAAAGACTGTATGTGTCCAAGCTACTTCTAATTTAGTTAAACACTGAACACACCTGCTCCTTCTTTTCTTATCATTCATGTTGTCCTAAAATGTCACATCCTGCAGCCATGGCGTTTAAAAGCTTTGAATCTTTCTTTCTGTCTCACACATGGATAACATCACGGCTTTAATGTGGGTTTACTCGCTGTGATAAACCCACAGACAGTTGTTACCTGACTCTGCACTTCCTCACAGCTGTACCAGGCTTTAAAGTGTCAGCCAAGTCTGCTACTGACTGCACTGTTTCAGTTCACTCTCATCGAGAACTGTTCCTGCAGCATAAAGCTGTTTGCTGAGCAAAACCCTGCAGAGTGTATACATGCTAACACCAGGTGACCATCAGAGAGGTTTTTTCATTCTTTAGTATGTAGAGACCAAACATAGAAATAAAAATAGAGGCACTGATAAAGCTAAACTTGCTGATGTGTAAATATGACTAAATCACAAGAACTGCAGAGGCTGTTGAAATCTTGTTTGATCTGAGTCTTCTTGTTGAAAGAAAATATGCTGCATGACAATATCTTGACTTAAGGTGTTGCTAAATGGAGTTTAGATCACTTTCGGTTTAGGGCTGCCAACAATCAACCAGTCTGGATTGTTAAGATTTTAGTCCTCATTAGTGTCCCATGATGCACTATGAGGAAAAGGCAGAAATGAGAAGTTTTCTTGTTGATCATTGCACCAGCCTAGGTTAACCTTTGACCCTTATGTAGAAGTGACAGTATTCTTCCTTTGCATGGCTTACCAAAAACACTGGGCCATGCAGTAGTCGAGTTGTGAAAAAAAATCAGGGGATTTTATTGATTTTATTGTTTGGGATGGATATTTTGTTCTGATGAAAGTGCACATGGTGGGAAACCAACTGTGTACCCATTTTATTGTTGCTAAAGCACAAAGATAATTATTATATTACATTAAGAAAATGAAAGGTGTCTTTTCACACATGCCTCCTCACCCAGAGTATTTTACTAAAATATGTGGAAAGCCTCCTGTCACAAGGTTCTTACTCAAACAATCAAAATATTGTGAAAAAAAAAAAAAAAAACAGGCTTAGTTGGAAAAAATATGGTGATGGTGATATTTATTTACAGCCACCCTTTCAAGGTGCAGTGCAAAAATATTAACAAAAGTGCAAAAACTGGTAAAATACTATTTACAAAATGTACAAGGCCAAAAAGAAAATGCCAACAAGCCAGGAGTTCTACTGTAACTCAAGATTCTCACTCAAGAAAAAAACGAACTGAAACACAGCAGCAGTACAAAAGTCAGTTTGGCAGTTACTGTTCATTCAATTAACTCAAGATTCACACAAAGGCCCAGGCAGCCTTCTTCAGGGTTCAACTCAGGGTTCATTTTGGTGGTGGGTCAACTGGCCAGTGTTAGTTAGTGACTTGGAGCCAGCCCTCCACTAGTACATGACAATAGTCTCTTTAATTGGACCACTGTCTTTGTCCCATTGCGCCAAGCGCCAAGTGAAAATCAATGCATTGATAAAGGTTTGTGTGCTATCTTTCAGCTCGCTGTTATTGGGCCATGTCCCAGTTGACCTATTACTTCACATACCAAAACATTGACAAACAAGTTAACAAAAGGTTAAAGGTTCAGAAAACTGTGGAGCATGTGCAGAGTGCCTAGGCAAATTTGGCTTTAACAAAGGTGTGTATGAGAAAAAGGAGACTAATCCCCAACCTCAAACCCCAAGGGCTCATTTTGAGAAATTCAGTCAGAGTGATTTCAACTTGTTTACATACAGTATTTTTCCAAGTCCAGTTTCAGTCATACTAATGTGATAAACTTACTTGTTTTGACATTTTGGCCTTTGGCATGTCTTTTGCACTTAATCAATTGATGACAATACAGTTGATCTCAATACTGATGCTTAACCATTAGTTGGATATTTTCAAGTATGGATGCCCATAATTGTAGCATCTGTCCCTTTACCCTCCGGTGATTATCACAGTGTCTTCTCTCTGTGCAGACACCTCTTTTTGTACCTGTGATGTTGTGGCGTCATCACTAGTTTCATAACCACAAAACATTGATTTAAAAAAACTCAAAGAGTGAACATAATCGGTGCAGAAGAAACATGGATTATTTGGTGCTATTTAACGATGTGCACCGTGGGAGATCTGTTACTTTTGAGTTGTAAACACATGCAGGGGTCTGGACACTCAGGGTATAGAGGAGCCGCATTATCCTCAGAAAATGTTCAGGTCAGTGCTGGCAGACAAATGTCAATAAACACTGATTATCAGGTCATTCCTAGAGACATATTTAGACGCAGACATATTTAACTCATAATAACCTTTGACCTTTTTTAAAGAGTTATGAGTTAAACTATCAATTTCCATAAACTCTTGGCTCTCTTAGTGGGCTTTTATAATCCAGTGTTTAACATTTCGACATAGAAAGCAGAGGGAATGGGAGTCGAATTTCCTACGAGGGCATTACAGATGATTTTGATTCTGAGAGAGATACCTTATTTTAACTTCACCCTGGTGTTCTTAAGCGAAAACACCGACTTTTTAACACTTTTAAAAACTGTATATCACAAGCTGCAAGGTTTTTGTGGCCATCTGATGTCTGACTGCTTTTGCTCTGAAATCCTTGTATATTTGTGAAGGAGGGAAGTCTGGCAAAGGATTAGGGGAGAACAGCAAACTGCCAAAATCTGCACAGCCTGTCAGAGTTTGGAAAAGAAAGAGACAGGAGAGGAAAAAATGTCAAGAAGGAGACTGCAAATGAGGCTTGTTTCAATAAGAGGATCGATGGGGATGCAGGAAAAGATGTTGTGTGCATCAATGATAAGTGTCCACGGGCAAACGCGTAGGGGGAGGTTAGAGAGAGGGGGCACATGTGATGTGTGAGAAATGAAGGTAGAGGTGCACAGATACAATCGTTTTTTGAGACAGCACATTGTCTCTAACGAAGAAAATACTTGGTTTGCGAAAAGATGCTTTGTGATAGGGGTGAAAGGGAGATACAAAAACAGGCTAACACATTTAAAGAAAGCCAGGATTTGTTGTTGTACTTAAGTGCTATTTCTTTCAAATCATATTTTCTGAGATCTGAAGCTTGATGATGATTATTTATGGCTATTATATGAAGTTGGGAATCTCCACAGGCTGCAGCGTTATTTTTAGGCGGTTGCCCTTTGTGTTACTCTGTTCCCTGGCCTGGCTCTTGTGTTGGGAGATGTGATTGTTGGGGACAGCCCTTCAGCAGTTGTGCATGTCATGTCGCCTTTTGGGGGAATGCACTTTTCACTGTAGGGCCCATCATGGCAAACCAGCCCCAGCTGCAGTCACCCTATTATTGCTAACCTCTACTCCTGGATTATGCTGTTTACTTGCACCATCTTTTCTGAGCTCGTATTTTACACATATGTGCATTGTGTGCTGGGGCCCTTTGTAGAAGAATAGGCCTGTATATCACCAGCCTTTATCATCCCTGCTACTTTCAGCTTGTGTGTTGAAAAGCTGCTGACCCTGATCCTTTGGATGAGCCACCGAGAGCTTTTCTTCTTGTCTAGTCATGATGCAATTAGTGACTGATCGCCTCTGGAGGTGGATCTAACAATGGCTGAGTGTAGACTCTGTGAATTGTGCTCACAGTTCAAAGAGTCCCTTTAAAAAGTGACGGCACTTTGAGGTTTTGTAATATAATGATTGAGCCCACATTGTTGAAGGGTTTTAAACACAGGGTAAAAGACAAGGAGCCAAGGAGAATCAAGCTATCTACAACCCAAATAGTTGCAACAGTCATAGCAGTTAAAGTGAAGTATAATTGTTGTGATGCTTTGTAATTTGAGTGTGTCTGCTGTGTTTTTGTATTGTTTTCTCTTTCCCAGTGCCACAGGAGCAACACACCTGTGTGCTTTCTGTTCATTAAGCATCTACAGAGAATAGAGCTGACAAGGATCTCAATCAGCAGGATATTTAAATCAGGAGCGGCTCTCCCTCTGCTTGGTTGTCAGTTAAAGCCTGGCATATGCTGTGCACATTAGGGCCAATTCTGACCAGATATTTGTGTTAGACGACTGAATATAAAGGGGCTGGAGCGCTCAACATGACCCAGTCAGCTGCTCCTGAATGGTCAAATGAATTTCGGGCATGTCTGCAATTTTGGTCTGTCGTCTGCACTTTTGCAGAGAGAGAGAAGAGCCACAAGTTGATTCCCAACTTCAGGGCTTTTATTCCTGATTGTGCCTGAATGGCAGACAGCACCTGAGACCACTGAAGTAAACAAAGGTACACACCAGCCAGCCACAACATTTTCACCACATGTGCTATCTAATCCGGCGCTACCACATATTATTCTCTCAGGGATCCACAGCATGTGCCGTGTTTGTGAACATGTGAAAAAGGTCATGATTGGCTTCATTATAATTTCAGAATATGCAAAGTAATCCTGCAATAAGGAGCCAAATGGAGTCCAGAGAATTTTATCTTTTCTTTATTTCTTTCTTCCTTTTCTCCTATCTTCCTTCATTCCTTACCTCCTCATTTTCTTCCTTCTTCTTTCTTTTTTCCTTCCCTCCTGTGTTCCTTACTTCCTCATCTATTCCTTTCTTTCTTTAGTCGTCATTGCTTTCTTTCTTTTGTCTTCCGTCCCTCCTTTCTTCACTCTTTCCTTCTGTCCTTTCTCCCCTACTTTATTTCTCCCTTCTTCCCTTTCTGCCTTTCTTCGTCCTTTCTTCCTTCTTTCTTCTTCTTTCCTTTCTTTTTTTTATCTTTCCTCTTTCCCTTCTCTCCTCCTTTCCTCTTCTTTCCTTTCCTTCTTCGATTCTTTTTTCCTCCTCCCTTACTTCCTTCCTTCTTTTTCATCTTTCTTTTTCTCCCTCCCTTCCTTCTTTCCTCCCTCTCTCCGTCCCTCCCTTTAATTTTTCATCTTCCTTCCTATTTTCCCTATGTTCTTCTTTCTTCTCTTTCCTTCCTCCCTCCCTTCCTTTCTTTCCTCCAATCTTCCTTCCCTCCTGCAACCTCCCTTTTCTTTTATCTTTTCTTCCTTTCTTCTTTTTTAATCTGTCTTTCCTTTCTTACTCCAACCAATGTTCTCAGCCTGTGTAGTCTACATACATGATGTTATGTACATACATGACTCATCAACACAATCAGATCTAACCAAACATCCACCTTTTAACAACATGTTCTAAGTCTTTGTCCACTATGTCTGTGATGAACTCTGTTACATGTTGTATAAGAGAACAATCTTTATTACGTCGTCACAGGCACTGAAAAAAAAGAAAAAAAAAACTCAACCTATTATGATTGTAAAGACTGAGGCTTTCAGTAAAGACTCCAATGCACGAGGCAGACTTGGTAGAAATGACTGCAAGAAAAACAGGATTTTCATGGGAGTGGGTCTTAAGGCTAAATTTGCCTGTTTTTCCCATACATAGGCTACTACTTTCCCACAGTTTTTCTTAGCTGCACAGGCATTTCCTCTCTGCAAATGTCTCAAAAATAATGACACTAACAGTCTAATGTGACACACTCAAATCACAGCATCTCTCAAGAACTGGTTTAAATTGGTAATTGCTCGTTCTGTAAAAGCAAATCTACTGCTGCCTGAAAAGGGAACAACAGGATCCTTTCAGGCAATCTTTGCTGAATGAAGATGGAGAAAGCAAAAGGCTCTATCAAGTCTCATACCCAAAGGTCCTCTCTTCTCCATCTACTGTCTGCGATGGGGCTCACGAGCTTGGCGTTCACACACAGGCACATCCATCTTCTTTTTATCCCAAATTACCAGCCGTCTTTGAATCCCCCTCCCTGTATAAATGAAGTGGGTGTGAGAAGGCGGGGAAGGTGTGCGGCTGGTAGATCCTATTAAAGGTGTTGCATTGATAATCAGTGAGGAGACAACAATGCATGGGATAAGAAAGAGACGGAGAACAGGGAGAACAACAGAAACGTCTCAATTCCTCGTGGCAGGATGCCCTTGGGAGGTCAGAGACAGTGAAAGCAGTGGAAGAGAGAGAGAGAGAGAGGGGGGCGAGAAAAGAGATGGAGGAGCATGTTGAGCCTTCACAGATGTAGGAGTGGTGTCGCTTTGGTTTATTTCCATCAGCGTGTTTGGTTGGCTAGAGAGGCAGATCCACATGTGTGAGCTGAGTGAAACTTCATGTTTACGTATAGGGATAACCATTTTCAGCACTCAATCTTCTTCAGCCTGTCTCTTAAGGAAGCGAGGAACTACATCTTTATCAATAATAGAACTCACATATATTTCACTTGGCCTATTTAGTTACAATAACCCTATAATTCATCTGCATTTGCTGGATCCCCCTCAGGATTTTGGCTGTCTCTGCTGAGGAGGGAATACAGTATGTTTCCTTGTATATTTTCACTCAGGTGATTGTCTTGTTTGTATCAGGTATTGTGCTCGCAGTGCATTCCTGTACAAACCCCACTCTGCAGCTATCTGTAGGTTATGCATCAACAATGAGCAGAGCTAGCTTTGACAGGGGACTGGTTGCTCGGAGGGTGCAGGCCGTCTGTCATCCCTCCATAGGATCATCTCCACCTACTTACATCTTTGGCCTGAAGAAGGAGCACACAGGAGGAGGAATGAGGGAGAGGAGGATGATTGTGATGACAGAGGACTATGTAGCATGTCTTCAGTACTGTTTGGGTTTTGTCTCTGTCCTTGTAGACAGGAGACCGTTGTAACAACACCTTAAATCAAAAACCTTCTTTTAGTTTCAATTTCACTCTAAATTGGCCATAATTTCCAAAAACATCATCGTTCTGAATCCTGGTAGACTTGAAACCTGCTATTACAACCACTAATGAGGCAATGTTAACTGATGTAATAAATCAAATGAGAAGTAAAGTCATTTTTTTAGTCTGCTGCAATACATCTGACTTATTTTTGCAGTCAGTGGAGTCACCTCCTGTTGGCTAATGAAAAATTGGAGGTCTGAGATACTTTTTACCTTTTAGTGAGATTTCTCTTTTGAAACCAGAGGCCACACAAAGAATTTAATAAAACATCCAACATTAAAACTTTAAGACGAATGTATTCGGTCTTTAATAAGATTCTCTTCCTTTTTAGAGTATTATTTTATTTATAGCAGCATTTAGAATTAACCTCCATGTTAGGGGACTAAAATCTGAGGGTATATGACCGCTTAATCACCAAATTATCAAAATAGAAAGGATCATCACATCAGAAGTTTCTAGATGTAAGAGCTCAAGGTCTCTTTGGATGGACTCTTGGGAGTGTTTTGTGACCCCTCCTCTCGTCTCATCGTGGATTAAAAAAGCTCCCATGAGGCTAAGTTTTCCTTGTTGGGAAGTTGACTTGAGGTGATGTGGGATCAGGGAAAAAAAAGAGGAAGCATTTGGTACTTGTACAGGAGGTATTATACACACCCTGATACACTGCATGCTAGAGGAAACACACTGAGCCTATGAGCTGGGCTTTAATAGATGCGGGCGTAAAGGCTTTATGTAATCAAACAGCCTGAGACAGTAAGACAGCTGCAAACACACACACACACACACACACACACACACACACACACACACACACACACACACACACACACACACACACACACACACGAGTAGACAAAACCACCAAAGTTGAATATTTGCTGTAACAAGATAACTTAAGCTCCTTTTAAATAATGTGTTCAATTACATCGATAAAATCATTCATCATTAAACTTTAGGAGAAAATTTGAATTTAACTTATTTATCTAATAATACATTTTAATCTTGCTAGAACTCATCATAACTGGATGGTTATAAATAACACATTAAATCAATTCTTTTAGAGCAAATAAAATGAAACACATCTTATTTATACACACTTAGACTCTTATGATATACACAGGGATTTATAATAGTGTACTTTAGGCCATGTATTACATCGACTATGTACAGTCTATGGTTACAAACTAAATAAATGCTTCTTACATTAACCTTGATCAACAAACTCTTGACCTGAGCAATGTCTTTGCTAGTAAACTGCTTCAACACAGCCAGGTGGAAAGAAAGCCACATAACTTACCGTAGAGGTTGTAATGAGCCCTTTGATAGCAGCAGAGCTGAAGAGACTTTTCACTTGAAAGCTACTGTGTCGTTTACTCTGACTATTTATAACAGAAATATCACACAATGGTTTCTGAAGAGGTGTTGAAGAGGTGTCAGTCCAGAGAGGATGGTCGTCATGCTGTTACCACTGTCCTTAACTAACTTCTAAATCTGCAGAGAAGTTAAAGCCAGCTTTAGCACCTGGCAAACATCTGCTATGTGCCCACCTGCTAGTCAATTTAGACACACCCCTGTGCCTCATTACACATAACAAGTAAAATGGTAATTATTGTTGATGAGAACTTAAGAGGTGCTAATACTTATGCTGAGTCTCCAATTAGCAGGGTAGCTCCTTGAACCACAACTCCCAGGGTCATACTTGCTCACATACCAGCAGTTGCCTTCAAACTAATTAACAAATACAAGATTGATTTGCAGAGATTCAGAAAAAACATTAAAATTAAATGGAGCATGTCACTCGTTTAAGTCCAGGGATTAGTGTTTTAAACCTTTTTAACAGTCACAGGAAAAAAGGGAGCAGCTCCTGTTTATGGTCTTCTTCCCCCAGCAAATGCCCATACTGTGTGTGCAGTTTGTGTCTGTTTTCTTCAATTTGCTTGACGTCCCTCAGATTCAGTTTCCTCCTCCATCCAACACATGACATGCAGCTAATTCCTGATGGACTGTATTAAATATGCACTGGAATAACTCAATTTATCTACATTCATGATTAATTCATCTCTTTGCCAAGTTGGGAGGGGCAGAGTGTGAGGGGCAGAGCGCCTGTCTTTTACTACAAAGATTTTAAAATATATAAATGTATTTATATTAATAATTTGTCATCTAATTAAACCCTTATCTTACTGATTAATTTTTGGGATATTATTTGCAGGATTAAGATGATACTTTCAGAGATCAACAATATCAACATTTAATACTCATCATTTACAGAGTCCCACTCATCCCCCTCTCCTTTCACCTCTAAAATACACTATTTATCAACATTACAAGACAGTTGTGTTTCCAGGAATGAAGGTCTTGGTCATCCAAACCTGACTTTAATTTTGTTTTTCACTGAATGTAAACTGAAGGCTGAATCACTGGGTTGTAGCACATATCTGCGCTCATAACTGGACCAGCACACACTGAGCTTGCTGTTGCAGTAAAGGTGGTTGTGTGTTTAATAGATTATGATCTCTCGGCTTCAGCAGAAAAGCTTAACCTTTATTTATTTATATATTTTTTTAATCTGAAACCTGTAATCATGAAACTAAAAGTCAGATTTGCACCCAAAGGCAAGAAAATGAATTTTCTATCAGTAATATAATTTCTCTGTTGAATGTTAGGAGGATTTTATTCTATTCCTGTTGAGGTAAAAAAGATGTAAGGGCACGAATAGAGAGGGAAGTCGACAGACAACAACATGGCATTATAGTTTTCCTCACATCTGTGTTGGACATTCCAGACCACACACTGTGTTTTTCTCTGTAAATCAGACATAATACTCAGAGTTATCTTATATTGATGGACTAGACATAGATGGCATTATGTATTTAACACTGTGTTCCAGTGTGTCTGTTTGAAAGCAGTAGTGCTGCCTCTCACAGTCTCACATCCTTTTGTCTAACTGAGGCTGGAAAAAGCAGAAGTCACGAGGGAGTTGTTGCGTGGCTTTAGCTTAACTGGATGATTTCCTAATGATTTCTGATGGAAGTATAAATGCTGGATAATGCTGATCCCCTAGAGACTGTGGCATAGGATTAAAACATCAGGTGGCTTTGTTGTGGAGGCTGATTCTTTAATTCACGGCTTTCTTTTATTATTTGATTCAAAAATAAAACTGTATAAAGAATCAGGCAATAATTAAAATATACTTACACAGTGTGTGCAATGCATTTTCTGACAGTGAGATCACTTTCTCGTCATGATTTAATGATCTGTTGACAGTTTTTGACAGAAGGTTGACTGCTAAGAATACAAATTTTCATCTTTAGACGAAGAGAAGTAATAACTGGCTCATATTTATTAAGTAGTTAAAGGGGATATTCCAGTGAAAATTGAAGTTATGGTCAAACACACCATAACACAGAGTAAGATGCAGTACAATAGTAAGACGCAAAGTTAGACGCAGCAGTAACAGTACTTGCCTAGTTTCTTAAGCAAAGAGACTAAACACAACTCACCCACTCTCCTCCAGCAACTCTCCTCCACTCTCCTGTGGGGGAAACCCTGATGAGTCGATCACAGAGTGCAGCGGAGTTTCGCAGCTAAAGGAAGAACATTAATGATTATTACTTCATTGCAAACTCAATCAGACTGAGACGCTAAGGCAGAAGAAATACCACGTCTGCAGTGCAAAATGATTATTATGATGATTCCCACTGAGCAATAGACAGCTATTAGACGTCTAGTTTTAAACCTAATTTTAGCCGACTAGATTCTGTATGTTTTTAAACGGAATTTAGATGTTGCTCTTTAACCCATTATTTAGACCTGTAATAGTCTGATTTTAGACTAGTAGTCTAGGCTATATTTGGATGTCTATTAGCCCTCTTTTAGACCAAAAAATGCTCAGCGGGTTATTACTTCATGGAAATGATCCGCTGCACTCAGTAATCAACTTGTCAGGGCTCCCCCCACAAACAAACAACTGCTGGAAGAGAGTGGATAAGTTGTGTTTGGTCTCATTGCTAAAAAAATTACGCAAAGCTAAAATATTTGGTTTCTAGTACTTTGGCTGGGACCCTATATGTACTGTTGATGAAATTAGGTGCTATAGAGTGGTTTTTTGGTTGAGGTTTGCGCATGGAGACATAGACCGCTGTGTATTGCTATTGTGCAGTCGTTACTAAAGTTGGTATAACTAGAGAAGCAATCAGTCGGCAACATTCATCTCTCGAGGGGGTGTCTAACTCGGTGTTACGGTGTATTTGACCATAACTTAATTTTACATTGGCATATCCCTTTAATGTCTTTCTTAAAACCTGGGAAACATCCCTCTCCATGAACATTATGTCGCAGGCCCCATTAGCTGTAATTCTCTCTTGTTTGAGTCGATGCATAAGGCTCCCATTGTATGTCAGTCTGCAGAAATGCAGCCGCTTTGTGGGTATTGTTTCCCTTGGTTAAATACCAGTGCCATAGGATGGCTCTGTATCCTTCAATTAATGGAGCTAGGTGTCATCTTGAATCTTTCAGCATTCCTGTCAGCGTTCGCTGGTCTGAACGAGTTGCAGATTGAAAGGGTTTGACATTTCCTGCTTCTCATCTTGGATACATGGACTGTAATTACAGAATGATGCAGCAGATAAGTCAGTGGCACTAAAATATCTATTTAAGTAGATTAATGAGCCTTGTGACATTTGTGTGAAGTTGATAGTTAAGGATATCTTCAAACATTGGCAGATAAAAATGTGTAGCCCAATTGATCGCCTTCATTGATTTTCATGCAAGCCGCCCTTCACTGTCTCCACAAGTCGCCCATTAGCTGATATGTGAGGAGATGTATGTTTGACTCTGCCGAGTGTGACTGTAAGTTTTCTTTTCTGCCCCTCCTGAGTTAGTGGAGCGTGATGCATGTGCGCGGCAGCGAGCTGTGCCTCGGCTCTGACACAAATGCTACGACACCCTGCTCTGCAAATGTCACTCCCGTCCAATTAAATGGTTGAGTGATGCCATTTCCCACGAGGGAATCCCACCAATAAAGTTCTCTGTTTGCCATCAGCTTTGTTTCCTGTTTTAGCTTCTTTTCCGGACACTTTATAGACAGGGTTTCTGTTCGAGCTCGCCCCTACAGTACACTGGTGACAGAGAAGACATGTGAGCTGATACAGTACCCGGTTTCAGGCTGCAGAATCCTCACCATGTTTCCACGACTCTCTTGGGTCATGTCTGCGCTTGATATTCATTTGCAAGTAGTTTTGACCACCTACACGTTGGCTATATTTAAAACAATGTCAGTCTGAAGTCGGCAGTGTTGACTTTACTTTGATTATTGGTTGCTCTACTCGCTGTCGAGCACCCACATGATGCCGCTCAGCTGCAGTGATGGAATTCATCCCTACAGTATTAGCCCTGCTGCCTGTTGATGGATTATGAATATTACCTCAGTTATTTTCCTCCACGATTGCTATTCTCAGTTTTCTCTGCTGATACTGATGATGTCTTTTGTTTCCTTGGTGATTGAGCTAAAAATTAGTTTAACATTTGCCACTCCGTTGTCTTTAGGTGCAAAGATGTACAGTAGGAGTGTGTTGTCTTCTTGGATTATCCTCAAGAAACTTTTATTCCGAGACATTTAGAGATCTTAACTTTTTATCTATTTTTTTATACATCATAACTTTCTATAGAGACGCATGGGAGTATATAAATGCCCTATTTGTGTGGTAAGCTGCATGGACGTCACGGAGTACATACTGTAAATCCACTGGTTTCTGCGAGGGAGAAAAAAAAAATCATTTCTAACACACTCAAAACTATAGCATTTTGTTCTTGGCTGGCTTTCAGAGCAAAGAGGGGTTATTGGCTGAGGAGGAATGTGTGCTTGTGTAAATCCCTCATTACCCGCCACAGCCATTTCCACATATTAATTAAGCCAAGTTAAAAACCTGCTGCTGGTAGAAACTGTGCCAATCTGTCACTCTAACAACGAAAAGATAAGGCGGAGGAGAAATGTGCAGGCTGTCTGCATCTCCTTCCACTGAAGTTCTTAATTGGTGAACTTACATAAATACTAACATGTGCTGCTTGGATCTGGAGGCAGATTCTACAGATGCTAAGCCCGGTGCTGCCCTTTTCTGATGGAGGAGGATACACGTTTCACACCCCGCACTAAACTCATTAGCCGAAGTCCTTCACACTTTGGCATGAAGAAACTCTGCAGGAAAGTGATCTGAGCTCCATGTTGAGCTTTTTTCCCCCCTCACATTTGGCACTGTTAACTCCCCATTTATTCCCTGTGAAACTCAGACTTAGAAATAGATTCAGACAGTCATTAGAAAGGGACAGGCTATTATGGGAACATTGGAAGTTTTTAGCTCCCTAAAAGGAATTTGATGTTCATTCCAGCATGTTAACAGTCCCACTCTCTGAGACAGGCTGAGCACTACATTACGAGGGAGTGTTTGGCAGAGGGGCTTCTCTATGGGTCAGTGGGTAAAGCCAAGGAAATGCTCTGAGTTTGACATGTATTCAGGGCATGTCCTCCGCCTCTGAGTGCTCTGTGTGAGGGTAGTTCAGAGGCCACAAATGCCACTGTTTAAAAATGAATACGCTCTATATCTGCATATCTACATGCGATGGCTTGGAGAACATATTCTGCGAGTATTATCAGGCTAATATTGTGAGACTGTGTTCAATGAGCCAAGCGTGGAAGACATTAAGCAGTCCAACACTGTTATATTTTTCCTCCAACTTGTGAAATGTTGGCTAATTGACAGAGCAAAGGCCTTGCTCAAACACCTTGGGACAGCTAAGCTTTCTGCTAGTTTCAGAAAATAAAGCGCAGCATTTATTTTTGCAGCCTTGCTGGAGCGCCATAAGAGCTGAATTTAGAAAAGGACAAAGCATTTGAATATGAGTTTGACGAAAAGCCTGCACTGGAATAAAAAAGCTGCTGCTGAAGGAGGATAAGATGATCTATTTCATACATTAGACTTTGGGTGCTATAGCTGTCAAACTGAAAGTCACTCTGATTAACTCTCTATTATTTAGACTAATGCTCAACTGGTTACAGTTTTTCAGCAGCCGATGCTCACACAGATAATGAGAGAGCAGGCCGGCCCAAAGCAGATTTATTATGTGATATCACTTTTATTTTCTATAGTTGTCAAAATAAAACAATGTTATAATACTTACAAATGAGAAACAGGGTTGCTGAACTTGAATACACATTTTACAAAAGACAGAAAATTATCGAGATCGACAGGCGGATCGGAGCGGAGTCAGCAGTGATGCGTACACTCAACCGATCTGTCGTGGTGAAGAAAGAGCTGAGCCGTAAGGTGAAACTCTCGATTTACCGGTCGATCTACGTGCCGACCCTCATCTGTGGCCATGAACTTTGGGTAATGACCGAAAGAACAAGATCGCGGATACAAGCGGCCAAGTTTCCTTCGCAGGGTGGCCAGACTCAGCCTTAGAGATAGGGTAAGGAGCTCGGACACTCGGGAGGTGCTCAGAGTAGAACCACTGCCCCTCCATGTCAGCTGAGGTGGCTCAAGCATCTGGTTAGGATGCCTTCTGGATGCCTCCCGTTAAAGGTGTTCCAGAAAATGTCCCACTGGGAGGACACCTCATGGTCGGCCCAGGACCAGGTGGAGGGATTATATTTCCCGCCTGGCCTGGGAGCGCCTGGGAATCTCCTCAGAGGCGCTGGTGGAAGTGGCTGGGGTGAGGACTGTCTGGGCTCCCCTCCTGATGCTGCTGCCCCCGCGACCCGGACCCGGATAAAACAACGACGACGATGAGAAAATTATCTTTCTTTGTAAAATATTGCCATAAATGAATCTGGATGTTTGCCTAGCCATCGTAGATGGTTAAAAACGGCAAAGAGACAGCATGGAAAAGGTCTTGAAAACTAAACTGGAATTTTGTTTTAAAGTGGTGTACGTGGGACAGATGTCACCTCAAATCCAGGGTTTATCTAAAGCATATTTGTATAGAGTCATGTTGGTGGCTAGTAAAAAAGCTGAAACAAATACGTGGCTCTATCAGAGATCACCTTCAACAGCAGACTGGTTGAAGGTAATGCATGATATATTTGTTATGGAAAAAAAATGACTTTAACATTGAGATTGAAAAGTGATGTGTTTGAGGACTGTTGGAGAAGTTGGACAGGGTTTATCACCACTTCAACCACTCAGATCAGACTTTAGGTAAAAATCAGCAGTAGCTAAACTGTAATTCCCCTGGTTCTCTGCTGCACAAGTGTTATTCAATATCTTTTGTATATTTTTCCTTTTGTTTTCTTTTCATGTTTCTGTTCTTTACAGCAGTTTGCTTTGACTTGAATTGATGTACACCAAATGAGGATGTTCAAAATTTCTAAATTAAAAGAAAATTAAAAAAAGAAAAAGAAACACGCCTTATATGTTGTATTTATAATAATAAAAAAGAAAATCCTGTTTAAATCCTGTATTTTATGCACATTAAAATCTATCTTAGCTATTAGCATGTTTTAGATTGAGTTTTAATTAGCTGATGAAAATACAAATAAATTGGGTTATGCCGTATGTGCAAACAGGAAAAACAATCCAGATAGGAGTGTTTTTATGTGTTATGTCCAAATGTAAGAATATTGCCAAGTCTAATTTGAAAACCTGTACCCACAAAGTTGGTTTCATGTAGATGTAATTACTTTCTTTCACTCTCCAAATTATAAGAACAGCAGAGGACAAGCTGACCCGAGTGAGCTCTCACAGAGGGAATAAATCCATTTACAGAAAAGTCTAGATGAGGCTGCTTTGTGCTCTGCAAGAAGACTTACTTTAATAGTAAGAAATGGTCAAAGTAAACTAAATATCAAGGAGAAGTAAAAACTTTAAGGTGGCTGTGAATCAACATTTCATATAAGAGCTGTTTACCAAACACAGAGTATTATAGCAGGGGTTTTGCTGCCCAGACTTTGATGCACCACCAGGCAGAGAGGAGATTTTCTTTCCGTCTTTGAGCTCGTCTAGAAATGTTTTTGCAGACCTCTTTGCAGAATCCCAGTCTGTTCCTGTGAGGTCATTATTTATTTGTCTTATCAGCTCATGTGTCAGGACAATATTAGCACCATATGATGAATGATATCTTTGTTAGATGAAGCTGAAAGACAGCTCAAAGGGCTTTCTAATATTTGGGGTTCCAAGTTATCTTCAGCATATGCGGCTTATACATTACCAACAGGGGTGAAAACCTCGGGTCAATGTTCCTGCAAAAAAATGTGATTGAGTGAAACCACATTAGGCCTGACTTTAAGATTAAAAAGCAATGACTTGTACAGGGAGCTGAAGTAGACAAATGCAGCGAGTCCCTGAGGGGTTAGCAAGTGTCTGTCAACTGTCGGTCTGCAACTCAGCCTCCAGCCTTCCTCTGCTCTATCAACTCGCCTGCCTTCAAAGTGTCAAGTCAGGAAAAAGTTGCTTTACACAGAGGAGAGTTTACTCAGTGGGTGCAGCTGGAGCCTGAAAAATAATTATTAAAGACCCACTCTGATTAAAATCATGTTTTTCTTGTTTTTTTTTTATATGTTAATGTGGCATTTTTCTGATGCTACAGGACATATCATGAGAAAACTAAGTGCCAAATTGCATTTCTGAGTATTTTTGCAGTCAAATCGATGAGAATCTCTGGTAGACCCAAACGGCAGGTTCAGACACAGTGAAATTTCCTACGTAGTAAATCCAAGCTCCGCCCCCGAAGACCCGCTATGCAGGGGCATGTGGAAAAGTAGGGAGGATGATCAGACCAAGTGTGTGTTAGCGGATTGCATTGCTCATAAGAAAGCTAATAATGATATTAGCTTCGATCATGTCCCTAAACACATTAGTGTCAGAGAGTTGAATCACTCCTGCTTCTTCTACCACACCGGCAATGTTAGGCTGCATGCTAGCATTAAGAGGAGTGTGCAGAGCAGCGCTGTCTCCGCCCATGACTCAGAGGTGAATTGCGAATGAGCTACTGGAGCTCTGCAGAAGAAAAGCCCTTGAAAATGACACATGTAACGTGACTTTGGCTAAAAACTTCATAATCACGATTAAAACATCACAAAAAGAAAAGAAAAGAAAAGAAACAATTGAAGTGGGACTATAAGGAGGTCCTTATTTTTGGTTAAGATTAGAAGACAGAAAAGGAAATAGACTGATAATAAACCCAACTTGATTTCTTTCATGATAACTCTTTGTGTTATCCCTTAAATTTGATATTAAATTGAAGACACGTGACAAAGGGCCAGATTGTGCTCACTTTCAGGAAACTTTCACCTTCATCTGTCTTATTATGTATGTTCAAAGGTGTTTGTCGAACAGATCTTCTTTAACCATCATCCCTTGGTCAGTTGTTTGATGCTTAAATTTGAATTGTACTTAATAATTTTTTATGAAGACAAACATTGTATTCCAACAAACACTTACCTGGAGCATAAAAGTTCCATCTGTTTAACAAGTTCAAGTAGTCTGAGAGCCTCAAGGTCTTTTTAGCCATTTCATGTAGCCTCTTCTAACAGCTCAATAGCCCTTATTGAGCTCCTCGGCATCTATTTCTAGTGGAGTGGCTCCCCGCCTCTCTGTACACAATTATTTGTCCTCATCTGCAAGAGTTTAAATCCTTGATTAAAACCTTTTGATAACAGAAGTTTTGAGCAGCATGAAATTCAGCTGAAAGATATTTTCGCTTGTTTGGTGTCAAAACTTTGACAGGCCATAGTTTCATGCATCATTTATGTGAAATATCCTCTATCAAAAAAAAGCCTGTTGTTGCACAAAAATTGGTAAAATGTCTGTCAACTGGTAGGGATATGTTTTAATCCAATGTAGTAAGAGCAGTATCCATAATTTCACCGTATATCTGTCCTGATCTGCTTGTTGCACTTGTCCCAGAGATTCGTCTGTTCTAACGTTACACCTTGTAAAACGATTGGTTATCAGGCTACAGAGTGTGCTCCTTATTGCTTATCAGAGGATGCAAAGTCTAAAAATGGTTATCACAGTGAGAAAGCAGTTTCCGAGCGCAGTTAGCTGAGATTAGACTTTTGATAGAACGGCATATCATGTAAATACACCCAGGGCTGCTGCACTTCTGAGTTTGTTTGTTGTTCTGCTAAACTGATAACATGCATAAGAAAATCAAATTATTATGAAGGAGTTTGGATAATTGAAATGAGTTAGTTCTGCAAAAATGAAATGAATCCAGATGGCTAAAAACAACCACTTGAATCATATTTGATTCCTATAGTAGTTCTATAGAACAAGGTTGTATGTTTTTCCCATAGCCTGTATATAGAACAGATGCTGTCTGCCTCCTAGTTGGGTGAAGCCTCCGTGAGAACAGCACCCTCTGGTGACAGGCTGCGGTATAGGTCACTTGAAGGTCAATATACATTTTTCTCCTCCCTGCTTGCGATGTTGACATGTAGTTATTGTCAGACTGATTTGTGCTCAAGTCCTCTTTTTCTGTACAACTCCATTTTTAAAAGTTAGGAGGTTCATGTTTTCTATGATTGACACTTGATACATGCTGTGTATGCTGTATGCAATATGCTGTGTGTGCGGAGCGTCATCACCATAGACTATATATACTATGGACAACTTGGTTTGCCTTCCGCCAGTATACGGATTTGAAGCCGAAAAGCTCTCGGTAACTGTTTTTTCTCTGCTTCCTGAAACCAACATTGCGCAGTAGTGTTGTAAGCACTCCACTACTTGCGCAGTAGCATTGTGCGAATTCGGTGGGAGAGACGCTGAGATTTGCTGTGATGACGCTCGACTGGTCATTCAACCGCGAGGATCTACAAATAACATGTTTTTGTTTTCTTCAAAAAATCTTATTGATTGCATTGGTAGTAATGACAAAGCATGAACACTTTGTAAAGCTCTAACAGCGCAGACACTCTAGAGATGTTGTTGCTGAGAAGGACCTGGCTGCTGACACAGAGGACCGCAGTAAGCTTGTGGGAAGCTGAAACTTCCGAAGGTGTAAGACATCAACCTCGACATCAATCGTACAACTCAGCAAGCACCAACAGAGATCCAACTGCACATGTTCGGAGCTGTGCTTCAAATGGTTGATTCTGAACTTTGCAATTTATGATTTAACTGTTAAAGTTTGTGAAAACAGCAAGAGGAGAAAATTTCACAAGATCATGGAAATAGCTGATATTTTTGATAGCAGCTGTGATGAAATTTGGTGTGCGCAGAGCTACATCATTCATTTAACCAGAATAATTCCTAACAGCAGGTTGAAATGCAGACTTCTTGAAGTCTGTTTACTCTTTATTGTTAAACTTTGTTAAATAGACATGGCGAAAACAACTTTAATTGGAGGGATCACCTTATTTTCTAATAACAAAGTGGAGGTCAAACTTCTTACGTGCATGTGCTTGCGGTGGTCTGATGTGTCTGCAAACAGGTACTCTTGACTCCGTCTAAAAATCACCTCCATTGATTTGTGCACATCTTTAGAGTGTTGGTTTTACCAAAAAGATGTCTAAATTTAAGACAACATATGATCACATTACTTCTCTTATTTGCTTGATGCCTGAAATGTATAATAAATCCACAATAGTCTCATTCATTTCCTTGTGCTAATTATGAACCTGCTGCCAGTAGTTGGTTAATTATGAGAGCAAACAAGATCTAAGTTTGCATTATAAACTTCTTTTTGTGAGACTCTCTAGACTCTATGCAAATGTAAGTTAGCCAGCTGCAGGCAAGAGCTTCCTATTAGTTTACAGACGTAATTGTAATATCAAACTTTTCTTGGCAGGAAAATGAATGACCTTGTTTTGCAGAATATCAAGGGGTTTTCTTTCTTAATAATCACAGTTCTTGTAAAAATTTTTACCCAAATTCTCAAACAATAAAAACAACATTTTGGATTAAATTTACCCTGCACATGTCCGGTTAAGTTACTGTAAGTTGTGTCTGTGATTCACTCAAGTTTTCATAGGACCTGAAATGACATAGACACATTTCTGCTGTTTGTTATCTTTGCTCCCCAGGTATAAAGTGCCGTCCTGACATGGAGGAGCAAAGAGTGATCTCTGAGTGGAGGAGCGGGATGGAGAGAAAAGTTCCAAGTAGCAGAAGATAAAAGAGGAAATGTGAGACAGGAAGACATGCCTTAGGTAATGGGAAAGCCTTCAAGTGAGACAGTAATCTGGGTAATATGTCAAACTGCTTTCAGCTGGGGAGCTTGACGCTTTCCCAATTAAGCTTGGGTGCAAAGGCAGCCTTTTTCCTAATTGTTTAACATGTAGCCGAGCGGCCAACTAGCATGACCCACACGCGAGTTCTGTAGATCACAGCGTGGTGATTGACGCGGACGTCCCTCTAGGCTGTCTGCACCATGAAGTTCATCAGCTTCCAATTCACATGTGAGGAAAACCCAGTTGCTCCATTTGAAATGAGGAGCTGAGGAGGGAAACAGAGGAATAATGAAGCTGTTATCAATACTGAAGGTTATCAGACATGGGCGGTTTTGATGGAGCCCATTTATCTTCATCATGACTCTAAAGATGTCATTCACAGATCTGTTACTCCCCTTTCATTAACCATATGGACCCATTCAAGGAGGCGCGGATGAACCTGCTCATTTGAGGTCTTCATTCAGGCAAATAAAAAGCTTCTCCTCCTGTCTGCTCTTTGTTCCTTTAAACCCTGCAGTGTGTTCAGCCATTGTCACAGAAGCTGTGGGGCTCAAAGAGGGGAAATGTCCAGTTTTGCGCAGTCCTCTGTCTCCAGCAGTCTTCCATTTGAGAGGCTGATCGCTGCTGAGTTTCACTGTTTGGCCAGCTTAATGAAACCTTGATTTCCCAAACTCCCTCTCTGTATGTTTCTTCGCTCATCTCTCTGCCCAAAGTCTCTGTGCCTCAGCCAGTGCCAGGAGCTGCCATTTGGTTTTGTTTGTTGAGTGCTCATAGCCAACTGAACCAACAAGCCGACTGATTAAAATGAAAATGGGCCCTCACTCTTGGCCCTCTATTTCTGTCTCTTGTTTTCTCTCTCTGCTTGGCTGGAGGGGGCTGTGCTACATACATTCTGCTCTCACTCAATATCTACAGCTCTGCCACTTGAAATATAAACTTAATAAAATATTAGAGTTGTGTGGATGTCAGAGTGTGGAGGCTTCTGTGTTTGGGGATTCGAGCACCAGCTCTTCAGCCAAGATTTAACTGCAGAAAAGGGCTTAGAGTGCAGACTCGAGAACATGCAAAAAATCCCATCCTCATCATCTGTACACGTGATCATGCAAATTCTCAGTGGGTTTCTTTAAGTTAACTTTATAATAAGCATGTTATCTGAGAGGTGAAAATTGGTTCAAAGCAGCAGCTGACTTTTGGCTTTTAATTAGACTTGTCAATGAAGAGAGACTAATATGCATACAGCTCTCTCAGTCAGTTTAAAATAGTACTTCAAAACATAATGTTTAGATATTTACTGTGATCATGACAGCCATTTATCAGATCATGAATGTTCACCCACATATGTAATACCTGGAGAAATCAAAGCTTCATCAAAATCATAGTAATATGATAAAAAATGAGTTCCGTGCCACTTGAGTGTATTTTTGGCACTTTTCACACATGCAAATTTCCGGTAAATATCAGACGAGATGAGATTTTCCCTGTCAGGTGTTAGAGGTGAGGATGGAGGATGGGGGATGTCTCATAGGGCCAGATATGAAAAAAATAAAACCTTCAGTAGAAAATAGTATGAAGCCGTTTTCTTGGATGAAAATTACTCTGGTTGCACAATGTAAATGTCATCACCCTGTTTAAGTATTACCTGTCACTTTCCCAAATTTGTTCTTCCCAAATTCTTGCAGACATTTTTACAAGATAAGGCAGGGTAAAGTCAGGTTGGAAATTTTCAGTTTGGTGTATGTGTGTGAAAAATCAATCAATCAATCAATCACTCAATCAATCAATCACTCATTATTTGTATAGCACTCTTCATACACAACCCTGTAGCACAAAGTGCTTTACACAGAAAAATGAATAAAAAAAAAATAAACCCAACCCCTCATTCCCACCCTGCGATCTAAGCACAACAGAAACATGTGTTAAAATTGAAAACTTGAAAAGGCCTCGATTTCATAGAAACAGGAAATGTCACTGAGGAAACAAGGAAGGAAGGAAAACACTAAACAATAAATAAAATGAAATAAAAACAACAGTAAAAGATACTAAAATAAGAGCACCAAGATAGTTCAATAAAAGTCACTCCTGTCATTAAACTTGGAGATAAACGCTAAAACACCTAAAGGTGATAATATGAAATTCAGTTATAACCAAGACCAGAAAGGTACGTTTTGAGTTTGCTTTCAGAATCAAAAAAGATCTTTTCCATCATTGATGCCTGCACAACTACAAAAACAGCACAGCACTCAGTGCTGTACTCCTTTAAAGACATTTTCTCAAGTTTGAAGAGTCAGTAGAGGTCTGCAGATAAAAAAACAAACTGCAAACTGTATCATCAGACAAAGTGCAAGATGAGTGATGTCAAACACAAGAAATGTTGTGATTTAGTCTTTCGTGAATGTGTCTAAGTGTATTCATAATAGTCAGTATAACTGTTTCTTTCTCTCAGTCAGTCAAGTATTGCTCTATAACAGAGCGCTCAGTCGATTTATAGCCACTAGAGAACATGTTCAGACAGTCTGAAAGAGCCTCTCCAACTCTTTGGGGTGCTGCCCTTATAAAAGGACAGCAGCCGCCCACGTTTCTTTAGTGACAGCAAGTGAAACCACAGATAGCTTCATCAGACCACTCCGCAGAGATCTGTGCTTCCTGCCATAGTCCACTGCACCAACTGCTCGCCACTGGATGTGCAATGATGCCGAGCGCCGCCCTGCCGATGTCCCGCAACTTTCTCACTTACGGGCTGCAGCACAAAGTTTGTCACACCTAAAATTAAACAGCAGGATCACATCAGAGGAGATTTATCTCTGCCATCATATCAGCTTTTATTCAAGCACTCACCCATCTTTTGGTCTTGTCATTTTTCAGTACTTGGGTGTTCTGTCACCATATTAAAAAAAAAAAAAAATTGAAGGCTTTTAGCTGCCACTTTGCACGGCAGCAGTTTGTCTTCTACAAACTTGGCATAAGCAAAAAAAACTTTGATCAGGCTGTTGCTGTGTCTCCTAATGGTCTGCACAATTGACACTTTTGTTTCTCTTAACTAGGGTGACCATACGTCCTCTTTTACCCAGATATGTCCTCTTTTTTGGGGGGCTGCCCAGGCTGTCAGAGTCATGCATAACAATGGTTCATACCACATTTTAAACATGTTCATTTCTGCTGTAAAAATATGCATTTAAAGTCCCACTCCGATCATTTTTATTCTTTTACTATTTAAAGTGTTCTCAGTGGTCTTTGTATTGTGATTATGGAGTTTTTAGCCAAAAGCACGTTACCTGTGTCATTTTCTTCTGCAGAGCTCCAGTAGCTCATTCCCACTTCGCCTCTGAGTCGTGGGCGGAGACAGCGCTGCTCTGCACTCCTCTTCACGCTAGCTTGCAGCCTAACATTGCTGGTGTAGTAGAAATAGCAGGTGGCATAGGAGCTATTCAGCTGTCGGACACTAATGTTTTTAGGGACATGATGAAAGTTAGAGGTATGGTTGACGATTGAAGAGATTGGTAATTATTATGAACCTTATTTATATGGCGATCATGGTCCTATTGTGTGATCTCCACACCCCTCTCCCCTAGTTCTGACTCGTCCCCTCCCGCTCTCCCGGCCCTCCTCCAAGCTCTGAGCGACTAAAAGTAGCGTAGCAGCTTAGCTACAGGAGCTGTGATGGAGATGGACACACAAGAAAAAAATTAAAACAACACTTATGCCTGTCCCGCCGCCAAAAGTGCTAAAAAAATGCAAGCTGACAGAAGAAAAAGCAGAGAAAAGAGGAAATGTGACCAAGCGAAGAATCCAACTTAAATAAACATCAGGTCATCCTTCGAGTGGTGGAGAAAGCTCTGTCAGGATTTGGGCCTGAAAACAGACACCGAGACGTCAGAGTTTTTGTTGAACAGGTCATTTTTGCCTTTTATCATGGCACGTGTTACATAAATAACTTATTACGTCGTATAACGTATTAGTCTCTGCAATTTCAACACGGTAGCTGTCCAGGCAGCTGCAGATGGTGCTCGCTAGCAGAGCTGGCGCTCACTGCCGCTAGTCACGACCAACCCGACATGGTGAATCCTATTTGAAGCTAGTGTAGGATCTTCTGCCGGCCGGCTTCTTCCTTGCGGGGGTGTGTAGTAGGGAGGGCAATACAGGTTTGTGGGGGAGTTATCATGGAGCACAGAGGGGAGAGGTTAGTGTGTGAGGGGTGGGACACTTTATTAAATCTGCCTCAACAGCTCACTTTTTTTAACTGCTTCTCAGATCGTCAACCATGCCTTTAATATCATAATAAGCTTTCTGACGAGCATTGTAATCCGCTAACACACACGCTTGTTCCACGATCATCCTCTCTATTTCTCCAAGCCTGGCTTGCATAGCGAGGCTCTGGGGGAGGAGCTTGAATTTGCTATGTAGGAAATCTCGCTGAATCTAAACTTGCTGTTTGGGTCTGCCAGAGATTCACAGCGATTTGAATGTAGAAATACTCAGAAATGCAATTTCGCACTTATTTTTGTTATATGTCCTGTAGCATCAGAAAAATGCCATATGAACATGGCTTTGGAGTCAGCCTTAAGTGGACTGTCAAAGACATACAGTTTTAAGCACCTCTACAGTAGCTTCATTTTACAACAGAAGTTGCTGCTTGGTTGAATAATGTGTTGAACTCTAGTGTTTCTCAGTTTATGCCAAGCAAGTGGCAGAGGCAAAAAAGGAATGGCTTTAATACCATCATATCATCTACATATACAAAGCATACCCTGTTTTATACTTTAGACATAAGCAGGTGTGAAGCACCTCCTGTTAACTTTTCCAACCTGACACCAACAACAAGTTTTCAACAATAAAGAAAAAACTTCAGTGGTGCCACTGACTGGAGTGCTCATGCTTAAACTTTGCTTTGTTGAACTTGCCAGACAGAAATTAAAGACTCACAGAACGCTCACACTTAGCTCACTATAGCATGAGTGTGATTTTGATGGTATATCAACCATCTGTGTGTCAGAACATTTCCTCTATCACCCAGTGGGATCAGGAACACACTGTGTGTCTGGTCCCGATCACATACCTTTGTGTGATACCGCAGGGCACAATGGGTGACATCCTCAGTAATCAGCACCTGCTGCCTGTGGAAACAGAGGTATATCGGCAGATGACATGTCATGTGGTCACATACTGTGTCATGATGTGTGGGTTTGAGAGGAGAGAGAATAGAGGTGTGAGTCTAGACACAAGAGAGGGAAGATCTTGGCAGGAGATTGAGAGAAAGTGGCTCACACGCAGAGCTGCTGTGTGTGTGTGTGAAGGGCTAATGACGAACAAAGTCATTCTCTATCTTCGGATGGGATAGGAAGTCATGGGCGTTAGCTAGCACCCTTCCAGATGCACCAAAGCGTGAATGTCCCCTGTTGGCAAACTGTTACAACACCTCCCACTGTTTGCACAGAAGTGGCCTTCTGTATATGTGTGTGAGTGTGAGTGTGCGTGTACGGCTGTCTGTGTGTGTGGGGCTAACCCTACTTATTAAAGCTCCCTTAATTATGTTGCCCACTCACAAGAGTATGTCTCGCCATTTAGGCACTAAAACTGCACATAGAGCCAGTGTATTAATTATAGAAATACAGCTCGGCACTTCGATTGGAGCACTCGGCTCAGTACAGCATTGTTTCCCAAACTCTTTATCTATTTCC